AAAAAAAAATCATAATTCGTCAAATAAATGAAAAGCCAAATTCATATTTGGCAACTAAATAGTAAATTGCAAGTACTATATAGAATTAAAAGAAAAATTGCTTCCAAATAGCCAAAGGAGTTGATTTCTCAATCCTCATATTTAAAAAAATCATAATTCGTCAAATAAATGAAAAGCCAAATTCATATTTGGCAACTAAATAGTAAATTGCAAGTACTATATAGAATTAAAAGAAAAATTGCTTCTAAATAGTCAAAGGAGTTGATTTCTCAACCCTAATATTTAAAAAAAAATCATAATTCGTCAAATAAATGAAAAGCCAAATTCATATTTGGCAACTAAATAGTAAATTGCAAGTACTATATAGAATTAAAAGAAAAATTGCTTCCAAATAGCCAAAGGAGTTGATTTCTCAATCCTCATATTTAAAAAAATCATAATTCGTCAAATAAATGAAAAGCCAAATTCATATTTGGCAACTAAATAGTAAATTGCAAGTACTATATAGAATTAAAAGAAAAATTGCTTCTAAATAGTCAAAGGAGTTGATTTCTCAACCCTAATATTTAAAAAAAAATCATAATTCGTCAAATAAATGAAAAGCCAAATTCATATTTGGCAACTAAATAGTAAATTGCAAGTACTATATAGAATTAAAAGAAAAATTGCTTCCAAATAGCCAAAGGAGTTGATTTCTCAATCCTCATATTTAAAAAAATCATAATTCGTCAAATAAATGAAAAGCCAAATTCATATTTGGCAACTAAATAGTAAATTGCAAGTACTATATAGAATTAAAAGAAAAATTGCTTCTAAATAGTCAAAGGAGTTGATTTCTCAACCCTAATATTTAAAAAAAAATCATAATTCGTCAAATAAATGAAAAGCCAAATTCATATTTGGCAACTAAATAGTAAATTGCAAGTACTATATAGAATTAAAAGAAAAATTGCTTCCAAATAGCCAAAGGAGTTGATTTCTCAATCCTCATATTTAAAAAAATCATAATTTGTAAAATAAATGAGAAGCCAAATTCATATTTGGCAATTAGAAAGTAAATGGCAAGTACTATATAGAATTTAAAAAAAAAAAACTTCCAAATAGTCAAAGAAGTTGATTTCTTAATCCTAATATTAAAAAAAAAATTATAATTTGTAAAATAAATGAAAAGCCAAATTCATATTTGGCAATTAAATAGTAAATTGTAAGTTCTATACAGAATTAAAGGGAAAATTACTTCCGAATAGTCAAAGGAGTTGATTTCTCAACCCTAATATTTAAAATAAAATCATAATTCGTCAAATAAATGAAAAGCCAAATTCATATTTGGCAATTAGAAAGTAAATGGCAAGTACTATATAGAATTAAAAGAAAAAAAACTTCCAAATAGCCAAAGGGTTGATTTCTCAATCCCCATATTTAAAAAAATCATAATTTGTAAAATAAATGAAAAGCCAAATTCATATTTGGCAATTAGAAAGTAAATGGCAAGTACTATATAGAATTAAAAGAAAAAAAAAACTTCCAAATAGTCAAAGAAGTTGATTTCTCAATCCTAATATTAAAAAAAAAATTATAATTTGTAAAATAAATGAAAAGCCAAATTCATATTTGGCAATTAAATAGTAAATTGTAAGTTCTATACAGAATTAAAGGGAAAATTACTTCCGAATAGTCAAAGGAGTTGATTTCTCAACCCTAATATTTAAAATAAAATCATAATTCGTCAAATAAATGAAAAGCCAAATTCATATTTGGCAATTTAATAGTAAATTGCAAGTACTATATAGAATTAAAGTGAAAATTGCTTCCAAATAGTCAAAGGAGTTGATTTCTTAATTCTAATATTTAAAAAAATCATAATTCGTAAAATAAATGAAAAGCCAAATTCATATTTGGCAATTAGAAAGTAAATGGCAAGTACTATATAGAATTAAAAGAAAAAAAACTTCCAAATAGCCAAAGGGTTGATTTCTCAATCCCCATATTTAAAAAAATCATAATTTGTAAAATAAATGAAAAGCCAAATTCATATTTGGCAATTAGAAAGTAAATGGCAAGTACTATATAGAATTAAAAGAAAAAAAAAACTTCCAAATAGTCAAAGAAGTTGATTTCTCAATCCTAATATTAAAAAAAAATTATAATTTGTAAAATAAATGAAAAGCCAAATTCATATTTGGCAATTAAATAGTAAATTGTAAGTTCTATACAGAATTAAAGGGAAAATTACTTCCGAATAGTCAAAGGAGTTGATTTCTCAACCCTAATATTTAAAATAAAATCATAATTCGTAAAATAAATGAAAAGCCAAATTCATATTTGGCAACTAAATAGTAAATTGCAAGTACTATATAGAATTAAAAGAAAAATTGCTTCTAAATAGCCAAAGGAGTTGATTTCTCAATCCTCATATTAAAAAAAATCATAATTCGTCAAATAAATGAAAAGCCAAATTCATTTTTGGCAATTAAATAGTAAATTGCAAGTACTATATAGAATTAAAAGAAAAATTGCTTCCAAATAGCCAAAGGGTTGATTTCTCAATCCTCATATTTAAAAAAATCATAATTTGTAAAATAAATGAGAAGCCAAATTCATATTTGGCAATTAGAAAGTAAATGGCAAGTACTATATAGAATTTAAAAAAAAAAAACTTCCAAATAGTCAAAGAAGTTGATTTCTTAATCCTAATATTAAAAAAAAAATTATAATTTGTAAAATAAATGAAAAGCCAAATTCATATTTGGCAATTAAATAGTAAATTGTAAGTTCTATACAGAATTAAAGGGAAAATTACTTCCGAATAGTCAAAGGAGTTGATTTCTCAACCCTAATATTTAAAATAAAATCATAATTCGTCAAATAAATGAAAAGCCAAATTCATATTTGGCAATTTAATAGTAAATTGCAAGTACTATATAGAATTAAAGTGAAAATTGCTTCCAAATAGTCAAAGGAGTTGATTTCTTAATTCTAATATTTAAAAAAATCATAATTCGTAAAATAAATGAAAAGCCAAATTCATATTTGGCAATTAGAAAGTAAATGGCAAGTACTATATAGAATTAAAAGAAAAAAAACTTCCAAATAGCCAAAGGGTTGATTTCTCAATCCTCATATTTAAAAAAATCATAATTTGTAAAATAAATGAAAAGCCAAATTCATATTTGGCAATTAGAAAGTAAATGGCAAGTACTATATAGAATTAAAAGAAAAAAAAATTCCAAATAGTCAAAGAAGTTGATTTCTCAATCCTAATATTAAAAAAAAATTATAATTTGTAAAATAAATGAAAAGCCAAATTCATATTTGGCAATTAAATAGTAAATTGTAAGTTCTATACAGAATTAAAGGGAAAATTACTTCCGAATAGTCAAAGAAGTTGATTTCTTAATCCTAATATTAAAAAAAAAATTATAATTTGTAAAATAAATGAAAAGCCAAATTCATATTTGGCAATTAAATAGTAAATTGTAAGTTCTATACAGAATTAAAGGGAAAATTACTTCCGAATAGTCAAAGGAGTTGATTTCTCAACCCTAATATTTAAAATAAAATCATAATTCGTCAAATAAATGAAAAGCCAAATTCATATTTGGCAATTTAATAGTAAATTGCAAGTACTATATAGAATTAAAGTGAAAATTGCTTCCAAATAGTCAAAGGAGTTGATTTCTTAATTCTAATATTTAAAAAAATCATAATTCGTAAAATAAATGAAAAGCCAAATTCATATTTGGCAACTAAATAGTAAATTGTAAGTACTATATAGAATTAAAAGAAAAATTGCTTCTAAATAGTCAAAGGAGTTGATTTCTCAACCCTAATATTTAAAAAAAAATCATAATTCGTCAAATAAATGAAAAGCCAAATTCATATTTGGCAATTTAATAGTAAATTGCAAGTACTATATAGAATTAAAGGAAAAAATGCTTCCAAATAGCCAAAGGAGTTTATTTCTCAACCCTAATATTTAAAAAATCATAATTCGTAAAATAAATGAAAAGCCAAATTCATATTTGGCAACTAAATAGTAAATTGCAAGTACTATATAGAATTAAAAGAAAAATTGCTTCCAAATAGCTAAAGGAGTTGATTTCTCAATCCTAATATTTAAAAAACTCATAATTCGTAAAATAAATGAAAAGCCAAATTCATATTTGGCAATTAGAAAGAAAATGGCAAGTACTATATAGAATTAAAGAAAAAATTGCTTCCAAATAGTGAAAGGAGTTGACTTCTGAATCGTAATATTTAAAAAAAAAATCATAATTCGTCAAATAAATGAAAAGCCAAATTCATATTTGGCAACTAAATAGTAAATTGCAAGTACTATATAGAATTAAAAGAAAAATTACTTCTAAATAGTCAAAGGAGTTGATTTCTTAATCCTAATATTTAAAAAAATCATAATTCGTAAAATAAATGAAAAGCCAAATTCATATTTGGCAATTAAATAGTAAATTGCCAGTATTATATAGAATTAAAGTAAAAAATGCTTCCGAATAGCCAAAGGAGTTTATTTCTCAACCCTAATATTTAAAAAAATCATAATTCATAAAATAAATGAAAAGCCAAATTCATATTTGGCAATTAAATAGTAAATTACAAGTACTATATAGAATAAAAGGAAAAATTGCTCCTGAACAGCCAAAGCGGTTGATTTTGGCTGCTGAAATTGGCTGTTATCTTCGCACCGGTAAACCATTTGACTTACAAAGTACAAAAGACGTCTCCAAAAAGTGAATAGTAGCTGAAATTGATTATCTAAATGAATGGACATAAATCAACCACATCTAGTGAACCGCAAGGTTCAATATTGGAGCCATTATATTCATTATTGAGATAACAACAAAATACCAAATCATTGCTTTATGCTAATGACTTAAAATCGATTTCAAATGACTTCTTTCATTACTAATTTGTACTAATAAGTAGTAAACGTAAATATTTCTACTAGCAACCATTAATAATTGTTTTTTTTTTTTTTAACTTACCAGCAGTACAAATCGCAAACAGCATCTGCATGGAATCGAAAAAGAAAAACATAACTAAAAGGGACACGCTGGCGCCCAAAGGCAAACACAATGCCTGCATCGTATCCAATGTCTGCACGCTGTTTTCAGTGGAAACAGATTGCGGGGGATTCAACAAGGAATTCGTTGTACCGTTAGCGCGTTCTCTGGCCTCTTGCTCCATGTTTAGGCTGCGAAAAGAGCCGTATACGATAAGCAACATCGATATCAAGAACGTCGAGACTCGACTCGAGTCCATGATGGAATACGCCCATTGATATTCGACCGTTTGGCTTTGGCTGTCTGCCATTACGGGCAGTTCTTCTTTTGACACTATCTGAAAACATATAATATATCTTCTCTGGAAAGAAAAAGGGGCTGTTGAAACTTTCAACATATTGAAGCAACGCGTCAACTATTCCTATTTGTTTATCTTCCAGAACTTCATCAAATCTCACGAAAGCCACTTCAGATATTGACATTTCAATAAAAAATAGAATGTTAGATGAATTTACAAAATTAGTATTCAATATTAGTTTTTAAAATGTAAAGCAGGAGTGTTGTTATTGGATTTAGACTAGTAAAGGTTGCTAAACGTTGCCAGAAAATTATTTTCGTCCGTAAAAGAAAACTTAGTTTGATGGGAAATGTAAGCGCGCCTCGCACAGGGGCGTAAATCGAAAAATGTTTAACTTGAATTAGAATCACCAAAAATCTGTTTAAATCTATGATGTGACAAAGGGGTGTATATTCATATAGAAAACATATTTTGGCAAATTAATTTGCACTTAGATACAATATAACAAAAATATATGATGCTTTATTTACCCTATAATCTGGTAATACTAGAGAATCTGAAAATAGCAACATAACTAATTTATTACTTTTGAAAATTAAGTTGTTTAAATTTATTTGTTCCATAATGTGCTAAAAAAATTAATGTCGTAAGTAAAGTCATACAAGATAAAATAAATTACAAATTGAAATGATGAAATACAGAGTATATACATTCATATCTTCACAGAACATATATTTATGTATATTTCAAATATCAAACAATTAAGTATTTTAAGGTGGGTCAGTAATTAATTTCTGCCATATAGAAGAACTTATTTTGGGCAGAGTTGGATCATCTGAGGGGGTACTTAATAGGAAGTCATTTTATGGAATATATCTGTTATTTAGGTTTGGAGAAGAAAATTCTTCAAATGAAAGTTATTTATAATATTATTCTTTATAATTTTTGTTCTATACAAAATTTTCCTAAAATGGTCCGTACTCGAGAAATTTGACAAAATGTAAAAACAATAGTTTTTTAAAAAAATTGTTCAAATAAAAGATGTTTCTGTTATTATTCTCTATAATTTATATTCCATGCATAATTTTTCTAAAATGGACCGTATACGAGATATTTGAAAAAAACAGTAAATTTCGAATTTTTAAGAAAACTCAAAAATGGAAAAAGAAAAACATCAAATTTTAAACTTAAGCTTTATTTTGGCCTGCGGTGAACTGATTATATTTTGGACAGAGTCGGAACATCTGGGGGGTACTTAATAGGATGCTATTTTTATATTTTATGGAATATATCTATTATTTACGTTTGGAGAAGAAAATTCTTCAAATAAAAGTTATTTCTAATATTATTCTTAACAATTTTTGTCATATACAAAATTTTCCTAAAATGGTCCGTATTCGAGAAATTTGAGAAAAAGTGTAAATTTCGAATTTTGAAGAAAACTCAAAAACGGATTCCGACCTGAAATGAAATGATTAGATTTTGGACAGAGTCGGAACATCTGGGGGGTAATTTTTATATTTTATAAAATATATCTGTTATTTACGTTTGGAGAAAAAACTTTTTCAAATAAAAGTTATTTCTAATATTATTCTTTATAATTTTTGTTCTATACAAAATTTTCCTAAAATGGTCCGTACTCGAGAAATTTGACAAAATGTAAAAAAAATAGTTTTTTGAAAAAATTGTTCAAATAAAAGTTGTTTCTGATATTATTCTCTATAATTTTTATTCAATGCAAAAATTTTCTAAAATGGACCGTATTCGAGATATTTGAAAAAAACAGTAAATTTCGAATTTTGAAGAAAACTCAAAAATGGAAAAAGAGAAATACATAAAATTTTAAAATTAAGCTTTATTTTGGCCTGCGGTGAACTGATTATATTTTGGACAGAGTCGGAACATCTGGGGGGGTACTTAATAGGAGGCCATTTTTATATTTTATGGAATATATCTATTATTTACGTTTGGAGAAGAAAATTCTTCAAATAAAAGTTATTTCTAATATTATTCTTAACAATTTTTGTCCTATACAAAATTTTCCTAAAATGGTCCGTATTCGAGAAATTTGAGAAAAAGTGTAAATTTCGAATTTTGAAGAAAACTCAAAAACGGATAGAGAAAAATTTAAAATTTTAAACTTATGCTTTATTCCGACCTGAGATGAAATGATTAGATTTTGGACAGAGTCGGAACATCTGGGGGGTAATTTTTATATTTTATAAAATATATCTGTTATTTACGTTTGGAGAAAAAACTTTTTCAAATAAAAGTTATTTCTAATATTATTCTTTATAATTTTTGTTCTATACAAAATTTTCCTAAAATGGTCCGTACTCGAGAAATTTGACAAAATGTAAAAAAAAATAGTTTTTTAAAAAAATTGTTCAAATAAAAGTTGTTTCTGATATTATTCTCTATAATTTTTATTCAATGCAAAAATTTTCTAAAATGGAGAGATATTTGAAAAAAACAGTAAATTTCGAATTTTGAAGAAAACTCAAAAATGGAAAAAGAGAAATACATAAAATTTTAAAATTAAGCTTTATTTTGGGCTGCGGTGAACTGATTATATTTTGGACAGAGTCGGAACATCTGGGGGGGTACTTAAGAGGAGGCCATTTTTATATTTTATGGAATATATCTATTATTTACGTTTGGAGAAGAAAATTCTTCAAATAAAAGTTATTTCTAATATTCTTAACAATTTTTGTCCTATACAAAATTTTCCTAAAATGGTCCGTATTCGAGAAATTTGAGAAAAAGTGTAAATTTCGAATTTTGAAGAAAACTCAAAAACGGATAGAGAAAAATTTAAAATTTTAAACTTATGCTTTATTCCGACCTGAGATGAACTGATTAGATTTTGGACAGAGTCGGAACATCTGGGGGGTAATTTTTATATTTTATAAAATATATCTGTTATTTACGTTTGGAGAAAAAACTTTTTCAAATAAAAGTTATTTCTAATATTATTCTTTATAATTTTTGTTCTATACAAAATTTTCCTAAAATGGTCCGTACTCGAGAAATTTGTCAAAATGTAAAAAAAAATAGTTTTTTTAAAAAAATTCTTCAAATAAAAGTTGTTTCTGATATTATTCTCTATAATTTTTATTCAATGCAAAAATTTTCTAAAATGGACCGTATTCGAGATATTTGAAAAAACAGTAAATTTCGAATTTTGAAGAAAACTCAAAAATGGAAAAAGAGAAATACATCAAATTTTAAAATTAAGCTTTATTTTGGCCTGCGGTGAACTGATTATATTTTGGACAGAGTCGGAACATCTGGGGGGTACTTAATAGGAGGCCATTTTTATATTATATGGAATATATCTATTATTTACGTTTGGAGAAAAAAATTCTTCAAATAAAAGTTATTTCTAATATTATTCTTAACAATTTTTGTCCTATACAAAATTTTCCTAAATAGGTCCGTATTCGAGAAATTTGACAAAATGTACAAAAATTAAATTTTTAAAAAAATTGTTCAAATAAAAGTTGTTTTTGATATTATTCTCTTTAATTTTTGTTCCATACAAAATTTCTCTAAAATGGACCGTACTCGAGATATTTGAGAAAAAGTGTAAATTTTGAATTTTGAAGAAAACTCAAAAACGGATAAAGAAAAAAAAATATCATATTTAAAACTTAAGCTTTATTTTGGCCTGCGGTGAACTGATTAGATTTTGGACAGAGTCGGAACATCTGGGGGGTACTTTATAGGGGGTCATTTTTATATTTTATGAAATATATGTTATTTACGTTTGGAGAAGAAAATTCTTCAAATAAAAGTTATTTCTAATATAATTCCTAACAATTTTTGTCCTATACAAAATTTTCCTAAAATGGTCCGTATTCGAGGAATTTGACAAAATGTAAAAAATTCAAACTTTTAAGAAATTTATTCAAATAAAAATTGTTTCTGATATTATTTTCTATGGAAATCCAAATGATTTCCATAAAGATCTCCACAAAGGGAGCTTTCCTGTCCTAAATAATCCCAAGTGACTACCCCCTCAGTATTAACTATATTTCAAATGACAACAAATTGTTTCAAAAATTTCTTTCAACATTTTTTAATTTAATATTTCAAAAACAATCTTTTACTATCAAAAAAATTCATTATATATAGTACACAATTCTTTCAACGTTAATAATTTGAAGTCAACAGGAGAATCAATTTATTGGAAATATTTGTTTATCATTCTTAAGAATTATGATAAAGTACAAAAGTATTTCTACATTTTTTTAGGATTGTTTCAAATTTTTTTAATTTCTAAAATATTAGCTATTTCATTTATGTATGTTTTGAAGCTCTCCAACTTGTTTTGTTTGTACAAATCATGACATGACTTCAAATAAAGCAACATCACACAGTTTTCATTTTCTAAATGACCTAAATAATTTCATTACAATAAATAAGTCAAATAGGTCTGCAGAATGTAAATCTGTGAAGAGTATGTTACATGTTCCATCTAAAAATATTCTAGCTGCAGATTTAAGTGAGGAAATCAACAAAGTTGCACCCTATATCTCCCCTTAAATGAATATTTACAAAAAATCCTCACTGTTTCCAAATTTGGTAATTGCCATACAAAATTTTTCAACATTATCTGTAACTGTGGCTAGCAAGAGATAGGAGCTATTCAGAAGCTTTAGAAGTATTAAAAGTAAAGTTTAACTATGCTTTTTGATTGACTTGTTAAATATTATTAATAGATATTTTGATGTATATGTAAATTAATTTATTAGTGAATTAGGTTGTAAAATAAATGAACCAATTATCTTATATTTCCTGTTTAATTTAAGATAAAAATATTTCTAATTCATATGGTATGAAAGGGGGGTTAATTTTGCTAGCACACGAGTAGCAGCTACCCTAGATACGGTCCTGTTAACAATAAATGTGTTAAAAACTATCAACTATTATCAATCAACAATTGATTAAAAATAAAAGTATGACGATATTAAAATGAATGTTCAAAAAGGATAAAACTGCAAAAACATTAATATTCTTAAATCTAATCTAATATTATTCTCCGAACTGTTATTTAAAAAAAAAAACTAGAACAAATGTTATCTGATTATTTTACCTGGTTATCGATAAAGCTGAATTAAAACTAAATTCGTAGATGATCATCACTACTTTTTCGTACGATCCATTAATGTAACGGACTTCTGGGAGATGCACATGAAAAATTATTGTTTATTTTGGATCAACAAATATTGTTGTTTAACACCGCCATTTTTAACAAAAAATAAAAAGCACAGAATGAATTATAAGATGACATTTTCATGGAACACAACGTAGTAGAGATCAAATATCAAATTACGGAAGTGTTGCGATGTTGCCAATGTCAAAAATAATTCACAAGATTATGTTAGAAATATCTAAAACCGAAAATGATTTTTTAAAAACTTTTATTTTAGTTAAATACAATAATTATAGATGTTAATGGTTTGAATATTAACTAGAAACTACTTCTTAACTGCATAAATTATTTTTATATAAACAAACTACATTCTATTGAACTAAAATGGGCACAAGTTAAAGATCTGTCAAATAAATGTCATTCCTTTTGTCATATTTATTAGGTCTTTTCCTTTGCATCGAAAGTGTAGCACTGAGCTACACCACTTCAGGGGGGCTATTTTCAAACTCGAGAGAATTCATTTCCATCAAGAGAAATGTCATACGTCAACGTAAAACCGTATTTTTAGGGCTCTTAGGGCCAGCGTGAATTCACTGACTGTTTCTCTCGGTTTATTTAGAATTAAAATCTTCTCAAGAATTTTAATCCTCGATGCCTTTAAAAACAACATTTCCACATTGACGTATGACATTTCTGATGAGAATCTTGAGAGAAATGAGTGCTCCCATACTTTGAAAATAGCCCCCCTGAAAATATCGTTCTATTTATACAAATTGTTAGAAGTTTATACTTATTAAATTTGACTTTTGAGACTACAAATCAACCTAAATTTGAAATATAAACAAAAATTAAACAAACTAATCACTTTTATATTCATGCTAGCATAAACAAAGGAAAAATTGACAAACAAAGGCTTCACAGAACACTTACTTTCTAGCATGGAACAAACATCTCATTCACATCTCATTTCAAATCGAGATGTATAAAATGTAATTGAACAGGTACATCTGGGATAAACAAACGCAGATGTAGATGTGTCCGATGTGGATAAAAAAACGCTCGAGATGTAAAAAATGCATTCGATGTGGATTCTCAAACGCGGCAATAGAATTACCACTTTCGTCTATTATTCTATTATCTACAATCTATATAACTATAAATTATTGGTTACAGGTTAACATGTTGGCAACGTTGGTAATTGTTGATTTCGGTGTTATATGTTCCATGTCAGTAAAATTATAAAAAGAAGAAATAATTATCCAGCCACCTAAATACTTCATCAGGAAAATAATCAGAAGAAGAACGAGTAAAATCAAAACAAATGGTGTGTTTCCGGTTAATTTTTTGTTTAGGTCCTAGTTTTTTATCAAATTTTTTTATAACTTACTGAATTCCGAATAAAATCTTCATTTAGAATAGAAAGGTCCAACTGTTATCGAGTTACTTAAATTAAAAAAAAATGGCAATTCTACCACCAGACCCCGTTTTTTGCTTCAGAGAAGACATGGGCCATGTACACTGTTTAAGTTTTTGCGTTCGTAGTTCTAATTTTGTTTCGCATATTTTGGCTGGAACTGAAAAGGGTACCGTGTATTTTTGTGATTTAGAGGTAAGATTTTTTTTCCTATTGATTATTCTTGGGAGTTTTACCATTTATTGAAATCTATTTAAAATAAAGAATATCGAACAGCTTAAAGATTTCAAATTCTTTCTGAGCCTTTATTTTTAGTCCGATTTTTTTGAAGTTTTCAGGAAGTGCGTACCAATAATAAGGAAACTTTATTTTACATTAAAATAAATCCTTAAAACATTTTTGCTTTTGTAAAAGGTCCTTATTATAAATGACACATGCGTTCTGAATGTAAAATATGTTCTTAATGTAACTTTGGTAAGAAATGCCTATCGAGCACCATATTTAATATAGATATGTATTTTTTTAGAATATTAGATAAAAATTATCCTTTAAAATAACCAAGGGTTGGATTGGATAGCAATTTTAGTACACTAAAGACCTAATGGGGCCTATTCTGTAATATTTTAGTTAATTTTAACTGCCAGTAGCCAATTTATCCATTTTAGCCAATTTTAATTATTTTTAATTTAGAAAAAGGCTTTTATTCATTTTTATTTATTTTTATTAATTTGTATTTATTTTCATTAATTTTTATTTATTTTTGTTTGTAATCATATTTATTTATATTCAGTTATATTCATTTATATTCAGTTACTTATATTCATTTAGATTCAGTTATATTCATTTATATTCATTTATATTCATTTACACTCATTTAAATTCATTTCCATTCATTTGCTTTCATTTATATTCATTTATATTCATTTATATCCATTTATATTCATTTATATTCATTTATATCCATTTATATTAATTTATATTAATATTAATTTATATTAATTTATATTAATTTATATTAATTTATATTAATTTATATTAATTTATATTAATTTATATTAATTTATATTAATTTATATTAATTAATTTATATTCATTTATATTCATTTATATTCATTTACATTTATATTCATTCATTTATATTCATTTATATTCATTTATATTCATTTATATTCATTTATATTCATTTATATTCATTTATATTCATTTATATTCATTTATATTCATTTATATTCATTTATATTCATTTATATTCATTTATATTCATTTATATTAATTTATATTCATTTATATCCATTTATATTCATTTATATCCTTCTAAATAACCAAGGGTTGGATTGGATGGCAATTTTAGTACACTAATGATCTAATGGGGCCTATTCTGTAATATTTTAGTTAATTTTGACTGCCAGTAGCCAATTTATCATGCCAAATCATTTTCAATCGCCGAAAATACTAGAAAATCCAGCCTGTCTTGAGAAATTCTGTTTTTTAAATAATTTTAAATATTTTTAATTTAGAGAAAGGCTTTTTATTAATTTTTATTTTATTTATTTTCATTTATTGTTATTTATTTATTTTTATTCATTTTTATTCATTTTTATTTATTTTTAATTATTTTTGTTATTATTTATATTCATTCATTTATATTCATTCATTTATTTATATTCATTGATATTCATTTAGATTCAGTTATATTCATTTTTATTTAGTTATATTCATTTATAATCATTTATAATCATTTATATTTATTTACACTCATTTGTATTCATTTATATTCATTTATATCAATTTATATTAATTTATATCCTTTTATATTCATTTATATCCATTTATATTCATTTATATCTATTTATATTCATTTATACCCATTTATATTCATTTATATCCATTTATATTTATTTATATTAATTTATATCCATTGATATTCATTTAGATTCAGTTATATTCATTAACATTCATTTAGATTTAGTTATATTTATTTTTATTTAGTTATATTTATTTATATCCATTTATATTTATATTCATTTATATCCTTTTAAATAACCAAGGGTTGGATTGGATGACAATTTTAGCCGAAAATACTAGAAAATCCAGTCTGTCTTGAGAAATTCTGTTTTTTTTTTTTTTTATTTTAAATATTTTTAATTTAGAGAAAAGCTTTTTATTAATTTTTATTTTATTTATTTTGTTAATTGTTATTTATTCATTTATATTTATTTACACTCATTTGTATTCATTTATATTCATTTATATCCATTTATATTAATTTATATCCTTTTATATTCATTTATATCTATTTATATTCATTTATACCCATTTATATTCATTTATATCCATTTATATTTATTTATATTCATTTATATTAATTTATATCCATTGATATTCATTTAGATTCAGTTATATTCATTAACATTCATTTAGATTTAGTTATATTTATTTTTATTTAGTTATATTTATTTATATCCATTTATATTTATATTCATTTATATCCTTTTAAATAACCAAGGGTTGGATTGGATGACAATTTTAGCCGAAAATACTAGAAAATCCAGTCTGTCTTGAGAAATTCTGTTTTTTTTTTTTTTTAATTTTAAATATTTTTAATTTAGAGAAAAGCTTTTTATTAATTTTTATTTTATTTATTTTGTTAATTGTTATTTATTCATTTATAATCATTTATATTTATTTACACTCATTTGTATTCATTTATATTCATTTATATCCATTTATATTAATTTATATCCTTTTATATTCATTTATATCCATTTATATTCATTTATATCTATTTATATTCATTTATACCCATTTATATTCATTTATATCCATTTATATTTATTTATATTCATTTATATTAATTTATATCCATTGATATTCATTTAGATTCAGTTATATTCATTAACATTCATTTAGATTTAGTTATATTTATTTTTATTTAGTTATATTTATTTATATCCATTTATATTTATATTCATTTATATCCTTTTAAATAACCAAGGGTTGGATTGGATGACAATTTTAGCCGAAAATACTAGAAAATCCAGTCTGTCTTGAGAAATTCTGTTTTTTTTTTTTAATTTTAAATATTTTTAATTTAGAGAAAAGCTTTTTATTAATTTTTATTTTATTTATTTTGTTAATTGTTATTTATTTTTAATTGTTATTATTATTTATATTCATTGATATTCATTTATATTCATTTAGATTCAGTTTTATTCATTAATATTCATTGATATTCATTTAGATTCAGTTATATTCATTTTTATTTAGTTATATTCATTTATATCTATTTATATTAATTTATATTAACTTATCTTAATTTATATTCGTTTATATCCATTTATATTTATTTATATTCATTTAGATTCAGTTATATTCATTTATATCCATTTATATCCGTTTATATTCATTTATATTAATTTATATTCATTTATATTCATTTATATTCATTTATATTTATTTATATTCATTTATATTCATTTGTATTCATTTATATTCATTTATATTCATTTAGATTCATTTAGATTCAGTTATATTCGTTAATATTCATTTATATTCATTGATATTCATTTAGATTCAGTTATATTCGTTAATATTCATTTAGATACATTTATATTCATTTAGATTCAGTTATATTCATTTAAATTCAGTTATATTCGTTAATATTCATTTATATTCAGTTATATTTATTGATATTCATTTAGATACATTTATATTCAGTTATATTCGTTAATATTCATTTAGATTCAGTTATATTCATTTATCTTCATTTATATTCATGTATATTCACTTATATTTATTAATATTCATTTATTTTCATTTATATTTATAAAAAAATATTTTAATTGTTAACATTTACTCTTTTCACAAAATGCTGTATAAAAACCATTTTTCAGACCAATCGGATGCAGCATAAGCAAGAAATGGGCGAATCAATACAATCACTACATAGTTTTGATTTCAAAATTATCACCCAAGAAAAAGAAGGTATATTAAAATTATGGTCAGTTAAAAAAAGTTCCTATCAAGTCGACAGAACCCATAAATGCGCCCCCGGTTTTGGCAGAAGTATATTAGTCGAAGAAGCTTTGTTCGTTCCTCAAGAAAATAGTTGTGTGGATGTTATAGACCTTGATAATTTTGAAAAAATTAAAAAACTGTCGCCTGAGAGGGAAAATTTGGGCAGCGTCATGGCTTTGGAACAAGTTATTATTGGTAATACTACTTGTATCATGGCTGGATATGAAACAGGTAAAATAACAGTGTTTACTATATCTTTATGTTGATGTAGAAACTGTTCCTCATTAAATTTCTTCAAACAATACGCTATTTAATTCAAACAATCAAGTAAATGTATTGTCTAGTAACATTATTGGTCAAATTCATGACATTTCTGGAGCTGCACACACTTGTCTAACACTTTTAGACAGTGGTGTCAGTCTAATTTTATTACTCATCATCTTGCTTCTAAATAATTGACATTTCTGTGACAGGAATTGCTTAAATAACTTCAAGCATCAAATGTAAATGCTTTTTATCAATAAATTCATTGCATTCTTTTTTCTCAACTTCAATTAGTGTCTATTCTTTGTGAATAGACTCACATACATTGTTTGTTATTTTTATATTAGGTGATGTAATTTTATGGGACATGAACACATTCCAGCCCTGCGGGCACATCAAACTTCAAGATCAATTGACTTCATTAACATTTGATTCATTAACAAAAACAGGCGTGGCTGGCGGTGCTTCCAATTTTTTACAATTATTTACTATCAACACCTCGTATGAATTTGCTGTTAAATTGGAACTATCTATCACAAATAAAGGTAAGACTAATTTCTTGGATTTTTTTTGTGCATTTATAAAAAAAGGTTGTGAACCCGTATCTAATAAAATTTTACACTCCCATTATTTTAAATCTTTATCCTCAATAATCCTGGTATTATTCCTGTATTCCCGACTGCTGGCATCTTTAAGATACCCTACAAATCCTACCTTTTGGCGATTCTATTTTAGTTATTCTACAAGGTGGTTTGAATTTTAGGTTGTAGTATTGTAAAACTACGTCCCGATAGAAAGATTCTAGTCGCAGGATGTTGGGATAGCAAAATAAGATTGTTTTCTTGGAAATCCCTAAGGATTTTGGCCGTTTTGGCTGAGCACAAAGAATCTATAACGGACGTCAAATTTTCTCCGCTACCTGTAAATTATTGGAAATCTAATATAATGGCCGCCAGTAGTTCCGATGGAGTCATAAGTTTATGGAATGTGTATAATTAAATTTCTGAGGCGTAGATATGTAATAAAAAAAAACTGATGTCTTAAAAAATTAATAATTACTACATTTTATTCAATAATTTAATAATTACCTTTTAAAATAACGAATGAGCTTCAATACAGCTTTTTTTAATAATTAATAATTAATAATTAATAATTAATAATTATAATTAATAATTAATAATTAATAATTAATAATTAATAATTAATAATTAATAATTAATAATTAATAATTAATAATTAATAATTAATAATTAATAATTAATAATTAATAATTAATAATTAATAATTAATAATTAATAATTAATAATTAATAATTAATAATTAATAATTAATAATTAATAATTAATAATTAATAATTAATAATTAATAATTAATAATTAATAATTAATAATTAATAATTAATAATTAATAATTAATAATTAATAATTAATAATTAATAATTAATAATTAATAATTAATAATTAATAATTAATAATTAATAATTAATAATTAATAATTAATAATTAATAATTAATAATTAATAATTAATAATTAATAATTAATAATTAATAATTAATAATTAATAATTAATAATTAATAATTAATAATTAATAATTAATTAATGACACACGGGTAAGTTGCCCCAATTGTAATTTTGATTCATGTTATGATAAAATTTCTCTATAAAAATGTGTAAAAAATTTAATTCTTTTTTTCGAGAACTTGTAAACTTTTCAAAAAATGTTATTTTGATTTTTTTGAATATTTTTAAAATTTTAAAATTAAAATTACAAAAATTTTGAAATATCTACACTGTAGGTTTTTTGTTCATGGAAAGAATGTAGATCTGTATTTTTATGTTAAAAGTGTTCATATTGTAAGTACAACTTTTTGTAAAAAAAAAAAAATATATAAGTTTGGTTATTTGAAAATGTTTTTTTTTTAATATAAGGGTTTTGGATTAATTTAGGAAACTACTTCTAAAATGTCAAATTTGCAGCTAGAGGAGATGGCTATAATCTTAAGAGGATGCACAATGGTTTTAGTGTTGGTATTTAAAAGATCCATGGGGTAGCTAAAATAGAATTTGGGATTTTTATAATAAAAATTGATGTGTTCAACACACAGTAAACAAACGACTTCTATAAAATACCCCCTGATGTTCCGACTATGCCTAAAATTGAATCAGTTCACCGCAGTATGAATTATAGCTTAAATTTATAATTTGGTGTTTTCCTCTTGAGTTATTTTAAAAATTTGCACATTTTCTAAAATATCTTGAATACGGTCCATTTTAGAAAAATTATCTATAGAACGAAAATTATAAAGAATGACATGACAAACAATTTTTATTTGAACAATTTTCTCAAAAACTCGAATTTTTCAATTTTTGTTAAATTTCTTGAATACGGACCATTTTAGGAAAATTTTATATAGAATAAAAATTATAGAGAATAATATTGCAAGCAAGTTTTGTTTGAAGAATTTTCTTCTCCAAGCGTATATAACGGATATATTTCATAAAATGGGATTATTTTTAAAATTTGCACATTTTTTTAAATATCTTGAATACTGTCCATTTTAGAGAAATTATGAATAAGATAAAAATTATAAAGAATGACATGACAAACATTTTTTATTTGAACAATTTTCTCAAAAACTCGAATTTTTCAATTTTTGTTAAATTTCTTGAATACGGACCATTTTAGGAAAATTTTATATAGAATAAAAATTATAAAGAATAATATTGCAAGCAACTTTTGTTTAAAGAATTTTTTTCTCCAAGCGTATATAGCGGATATATTTCATAAAATGGGATTATTTTTAAAATTTGCACATTTTCTAAAATATCTCGAATACGGTCCATTTTAGAGAAAATATGAATAAGATAAAAATTATAAAGAATGTCATGACAAACAACTTTTATTTGAACAATTTTCTCAAAAACTCGAATTTTTCAATTTTTGTTAAATTTCTTGAATACGGACCATTTTAGGAAAATTTTATATAGAATAAAAATTATAGAGAATAATATTGCAAGCAACTTTTGTTTAAAGAATTTTTTTCTCCAAGCGTATATAACGGATATATTTCATAAAATGGGATTATTTTTAAAATTTGCACATTTTCTAAAATATCTCGAATACGGTCCATTTTAGAGAAATTATGAATAAGATAAAAATTATAAAGAATGAGATCACAAACAACTTTTATTTGAACAATTTTCTCAAAACCTCGAATGTTACACTTTTTGTTAAATTTCTTGAATACGGACCATTTTAGGAAAATTTTATATAGAATAAAAATTCTAGAGAATAATATTGCAAGCAACTTTTGTTTGAAGAATTTTCTTCTCCAAGTGTATATAACGGATATATTTCATAAAATGGGATTATTTTTAAAATTTGCACATTTTCTAAAATATCTCGAATACGGTCCATTTTAGAGAAATTATAAATAAGATAAAAAATATAAAGAATGTCATGACAAACAACTTTTATTTGAACAATTTTTTAAAAAATTCGAATTTTGCACTTTTTGTTAAATTTTTTGAATACGGACCATTTTAGGAAAATTTTATATAGAATAAAAATTATAAAGAATAATATTGCAAGCAACTTTTGTTTAAAGAATTTTTTTCTCCAAGCGTATATAACGGATATATTTCATAAAATGGGATTATTTTTAAAATTTGCACATTTTCTAAAATATCTCGAATACGGTCCATTTTAGAGAAATTATGAATAAGATAAAAATTATAAAGAATGAGATCACAAACAACTTTTATTTGAACAATTTTCTCAAAACCTCGAATGTTACACTTTTTGTTAAATTTCTTGAATACGGACCATTTTAGGAAAATTTTATATAGAATAAAAATTCTAGAGAATAATATTGCAAGCAACTTTTGTTTGAAGAATTTTCTTCTCCAAGTGTATATAACGGATATATTTCATAAAATGGGATTATTTTTAAAATTTGCCCATTTTCAAAAATATCTCGAATACGGTCCATTTTAGAGAAAATATGAATAAAATAAAAATTATAAAGAATGTCATGACAAACAACTTTTATTTGAACAATTTTTTAAAAAATTAGAATTTTACACTTTTTGTTAAATTTCTCGAATACGGACCATTTTGGGAAAATTTTATATAGGATAAAAATTATAGAGAATAATATTGCAAGTAACTTTTGTTTGAAGAATTTTCTTCTCCAAGCGTATATATTCCATAAAATAGGATCATTATTTTCAAAATTTGCACATTTTCTAAAATATCTCGAATACGGTCCATTTTAGAAAAATTATTTATAGAACGAAAATGATAGAGAATGACATCACAAACAATTTTTATTTGAACAATTTTCTCAAAAACTCGAATTTTCCAATTTTTGTTAAATTTCTTGAATACGGACCATTTTAGGAAAATTTTATATAGAATAAAAATTATAGAGAATAATATTGCAAGCAACTTTTGTTTAAAGAATTTTCTTCTCCAAGCGTATATAACGGATATATTTCATAAAATAGGTTCAAGTTTTCAAAATTTGCACATTTTTTTAAATATCTCGAATACGGTCCATTTTAAAAAAATTATCTATAGAATAAAAATTATAAAGAATGACATAACAAACAACTTTTATTTGAACAATTTTCTCAAAAATTCGAATTTTGCACTTTTTGTTAAATTTCTTGAATACGGACCATTTTAGGAAAATTTTATATAGAATAAAATTTATAAAGAATAATATTTCAAACAACTTTTATTTGAAGAATTTTCGTCTCCAAGCGTATATAACGGATATATTTCATAAAATAGGATTATTTTTAAAATTTGCATTTTTTTAAATATCTTGAATACGGTCCATTTTAGAGAAATTATGAATAAGATAAAAATTATAAAGAATGATATAATAAACAACTTTTATTTGAACAATTTTCTCAAAAATTCGAATTTTGCACATTTTGTTAAATTTCTCGAATACGGACCATTTTGGGAAAATTTTATATAAAACAAAAATTATAGAGAATAACAATACAAACAACTTTTATTTAAAGAATTTTCTTCTCAAAGCATAAATAACAGATATATTCCATAAAACAGAAAAACCACCCTCTAGAAAGTACCCCCCTGATGTTCCGACCATGCCCAAAATCTAATCAACTCACTGCAGAATGAAAAGTAAAAAAACTAAGATACAAATTATTTAATTTTAAAATATAAAGCTTTGATACCATCCGTTTTTGTCCATTATACTTTTATTAAGTACCTACACATATTTCAGCTACACCTCGTATTATATACAATCTTCTTTTAATTACAATAGGTAATTCATTATAAAAACAACATTTTTATACAAATTATTTATTCAAAATTACAAATTTCAATTACTTATACCTCAGTTGATATCGAAGTGATTTTAATCATAACAAATACCTTAAATTTAAACACTTAGTTCAAAATAAATACAGTTCTAATTCTATATATAAAATAAACGCACTCTCGATGTGGTAATTAAGAGATCATCATCAAAAAATTTGGTTTCAATCACTATATTGCCGCTAAAAAAATAAAAATCTATATTAAATATTTGAAATAATTAATTGACTTACTTTAATACAGATGCAGGCATCATTTGAGACTCTGGTGCGGCCTCCATAATAGATTGCCATGTATTTGTCGACTCTGGCATAACAAAACCAAATTCAAAGTACCACTCCTCAAGACACCTTCCTTTAAATAAAATCTTCTGTTCCAACCTACAAAAATTACAATACAACAACCGTTTCTACATCAATCAGTTGTTCACAAATTAACAGACAATTCCCAATGAGATTTGTTACCTGAATTTGTCAATCTGTTCCTTGGAGCTAAAGTTAAACTCTCTAGATACTGCACGACATTTGAGGATGTTTTTAGGTACTCTAGCTTCATGTTCCACTTCGGGAAAACTTAAATCTTCAGAACCTTGCCAGAAAATTTTACCACCGTCTGCATCTCTTAGACAAATCCAATTACTAGACAAATATTAAGAAAAACGAACGAAATACAACTACAAACACTATGAACAAACAAACTTAATTTATTCAGTAATACACTAATTACCCTTCAGTTGTATGTATAATAGTACAAAATAAAACACAATAAACGAAATTTCGTCAATTTATTACTAAAAAACCTTTCAAAACGTCAGTTATACACACTTGGATACAGCATCACAATACAAACTAAAGTAAATACACGATTGCTTAAAAAGGATACATTTGAAAACCTTTTAAAATTTCCTCGGGGATTTTGGTTTCGTTTGTCATCTTATTTTCATAATAATATCTAAAAACGCATTCTTATTTTTGAAATATCTCGGTGACGATAAACAAACATGAATAGATAAAAAAATACATTTGACTTTGACTTATATGACAAGCGGTGTTGGGTTAAAAACCATTGATGTAGCGACCTGAGGATAAGTCATGAGTTTTTATAATTATCGCAGTGGCGCTGGTGTTGCTAGTGCTGTTAAAGGAATTTTATGAAAATAATAATAATTTGAGGGTACGGACGACTTTACGCGCAGTGGAATTTTAAAGAAATTTATTTTGTATCAGAAGAAGCACATTTAAAAAAAAAATTTGCGATAAATTTAAGTCAAAAAAATTATTTAATTTCTATAAAAATCAGCATTTTGACAACTATAAACATCGAAACTCGATGGTTTCTGTCAAATTTGGAAAATATAATTGCAACGTTGCCGGATTGTGATAAAATTAGTAGTTAATGGAAAATTGTGATTGCCCATACCGGTCCATAAATATGCAACAAGAAAACGAAGCCGCCACCAAAAAACATCAACCCATACCTGGCTACGCCGACCGGCGTAGACTCCAACGGCCCGGACACAGCTCAAATTGAATTGTAAACGTAAACTTTTTCACATAATAACAAATCAGTAAATGTACGTAACAGTTATAGATCTCTAAATTCCAGTCTAACATCAGGGCTGGAACTCTGTGTCATGTAGAATTCTACTTATCGCTTTCTACAATGGAATCGATTACTTTCTTTTGTGATAAATACGTTATCAACCGCACGGGAAATATCGCAATGTGGTTTCTTATGAAACTAGTTATCCTGTAGTAAGTATATACTCGTTGGTTTTCCGCTATGTTACACAGAGTGCCACAAAAGAATCTATTGTAGAAAGCGATAAGTAGAATTCTACATGACACAGAGTTCCAGCCCAGAACCATCTAGAACTTTAGAGACGTTGTAATCGAACTTGACGCTCTATTTGACTCAGGTAAGTTCTGTTTATAAATAAAGACCTCAGTGCATTTTTTTTACTCAGATTGGAATGGGTTAATTTGAGTAAATTTTACAGAACGTAAAATTCTTTTGCAAAAGGTGTGTCATATTCAATGCTTAGATAATCTTACTCTGAGATTCAATGACATAAAACTATGGGCAAGTTCGAAATGAGATGCCCTGTGAAGTGAGCAGGGCATGAGCAGATTCCTGTCAAGTTAGAGAACGAATGTAGTAACATCTCGAACGCGCTCTGTCATTCAGAGTAAAAAACATAACCTCAATCTAGTATGTCAGTCAACGATCAGTTTAAAATTCGTTGATGTTTACTTCCGTTGCCGTTTATAAATTTTGGGCCAATGAGAATTACTCTAGAGTAACCTGAGCGAACGATTTAAGAAAATTAGTCTATTCTTGCGTCTACTAAGTTTTAGAATGCTATTTTTACGTTAACGTATGACATTTTCCATGAAAATTTCGAGAATTTGCAATAAAAATAAGAACAAACGAATTTAATTAACATTAATTGGTTTACTCTTATGTGAAGTAACAAATCCTTTAACAAAAAGTGTATATATATATATATATATATATATATATATATATATATATATATATAAAATTCAAACTAATTTATTGGGGGCAGCAGCAATATGTAATAAAGAAAACTCTTTAAAGATGATCCAAACTTTCGGAAACTTATTTCCATCTTCAGGGAATCTACAAAAGGTGTGGTGTGTCTTCATAGGAACATAATATTATTAAGAGAGTGAGTTACTTACATCTTTGTGAGGATGAATTATTAATGATGTTAAATATTTTAAATTTTATGATTTTGATGCACATATAGAATTATTATTACACAGTTTTACAATATAACTTAAAATTATTGTGGTTAAAATTCAGTTTGAAATTTAACTGTTATGTCAAATTTTGTGTCATTCGTTGTTTATGTATACAAGTGTGTTAGATTAAATATAGAAATTACTAATAAGGAACCTAGTTAGGAAGATTACTTTGTACCTAAATTATTATTTAATAATGTTTTATCTGAGAATGCAGTTTGATTAATTATTTCATCATCAACAAAACTGTCACTAATTGTTGTGATGAATGAAAGGATGTTGTAAATTATTTCATCAAAAACAATACTGTCACCATTGTTATGATGAAAGGTTGAATATTAAAAGTTTTTTAATCAGACTTGTATCATAAAAGGTGGTCATTTAAAAAAATTAGATTTCATCTGCAATAATACTGTCACTATTATTGTGATGAAGGGTTGTATTATTAAATAATAATTTAGGTACAAAGTAATCTTCCTAACTAGGTTCCTTATTAGTAATTTCTATATTTAATCTAACACACTTGTATACATAAACAACGAATGACACAAAATTTGACATAACAGTTAAATTTCAAACTGAATTTTAACCACAATAATTTTAAGTTATATTGTAAAACTGTGTAATAATAATTCTATATGTGCATCAAAATCATAAAATTTAAAATATTTAACATCATTAATAATTCATCCTCACAAAGATGTAAGTAACTCACTCTCTTAATAATATTATGTTCCTATGAAGACACACCACACCTTTTGTAGATTCCCTGAAGATGGAAATAAGTTATTAAATTTCCGAAAGCTTGGATCATCTTTAAAGAGTTTTCTTTATTACATATTGCTGCTGCCCCCAATAAATTAGTTTGAATTTTACATTACTATTCAGCAAAGACTACCCTTCCACTATATATATATATATATATATATATATATATATATATATATATATATATATATATATATATATATATATATATATATATATATATATATATATTTACATCTTTCTATCAATCTCAAGCCAATTGGAGATTCTATCAAACCTGAACCACCCAAAAATAATAAAGTTGGATAAGTATATTTAATGTATATTGGAAAAAGAGGGTCTCTTTATCTGTAATTTTAAATGTATACTCTGAATATTTCATTAAAAAAATGTAATTTTTCTAAAGATTTTACTGGATCTGTGCAATCCTGAACCATTAGAAGATTGATACAATCTTGAACCATTTTATACAGTTTTGTTCACACTAATCGCACAATTCTGAACCTTCGCACAGTTGCCAAATGTAAATTAAGTATGAAATCTACGATTTAGTAATACGAGAATAATTATAAAATACAACTGTTTATTTAACTCTAAACTCTGAATTCAAATTTAAAATCATTTAAGTCGGACTATGTACTCTTGTGGCTAGGGCAGTTCAAATCGAGATATTGAGAGCAAACTAGATATACCTATGGATGTATTTTCTCATAAATAGGAAATCCGATAAAAACACTTTTTAACTAAAACACTTAAAATCTACGATTTTTTCTTATCTTTGCAATTAAAAAAAAATTAACAGGTAAGATAAAAATTAAGTTTTGACATTTTGTAATAAACCAGATTTATAACGCTTTTGTATAAAAATCTTACCCTCACCATCCTATAGAGGGAGAATGGGGGTGGAATTCCCAAAATATTAGGTTAAAACTTTTTAAATAAAACAGTTTGAATCTAGATTTTTTACATACACATCCAAAATTCCAAAATTTGGTCAAAATGGTGGGGGTAAATTTTTATAAAAAATAGTTGAAAATTATGTCTATTACAAATGTACCAAAAATAATAGTTTTATCTCCTCTGTGACGATTTTTAAATGCAAATCCCCACATTTAAACTATATCAGTTCAGGTCAAAAAATTCCAAAGACAAGAAATATTTATTTATTATACAAGGGAAAAAAGTTTTAGCTAAAATCTAATATTTTTCCCGTGTATAATACACCATTTCTTTTCTGTGATGGGAAAAACAACGATTTAATATAGAAAAAAATATCTACCTTTACTTCCCGGGGAAACACTTTTCTCCCAGGAAACATGGAAAAAAGTAATATCATAAAAAGTGACATTTTGTTACCTGACAAGAGAGATAAAATGTTAAACTTTTCTCGTCGCATAAAAACAAGTTTTTTCCCAAAAAACAAAAAAAAATATAAATTTGGGTGGGTGTATGTATATGGAAAAAGTTGTAGATCCCAATTCTTTTATTTAAAAAGACATAACTTAATTTACTGGGGATGCTACCCCCTCAATCTCCCTCTAAGGGGATGGTGGGGGTAATATTTTTATACAAGAACGTTTTAAATCAGGTGTATTGTAAATATATCTTGACATGAATAGCCCTCAACAATAATCATTTCTGGTCCACGTAGATAATATACTTACTTAAATTTTTCAACTTAATAAAAATTATAAAAAAATACATATATTAAAGTTTTAATAATCGTGTTATATATACCTACGTAGCAACAAATTCATATTTCTCATTAGTCAAAAGAAAAATTTACAGTTATTTACAGTTATTTACAGTATTTTGTTTTGAAAATAATTTAACGTTTTATTAAAATTGCCTCATTTTCTGTTAGGAATAAGCGCTATTGCTAGTTTTGTAAAAACTTGCTTAATTCCTTAAATATTTTTAATTGTAAGTAGGTATTAATAAGATTATTTAACGCTATAATGCATTAACCAATGACAATCATCTTTAATACCAACAGACGCCAATCAACACAATTTGTATCTGCATGCTGCAGTGTTTTTACTCAATCCTGATTGTAATTAAAAAATTCAATTCATTACCAGAGTAACGCATTAATGATTTGTGCGAAACGTCAATGTGACGTTTGTCAAAAAGGTTGGATTTAAAAAATTCAATTCATTACCAGAGTAATGTATCAGTGATTTATACGAAAAGCCAATATGAAGATTGTCAAAAAGATAAAGAAAAATGCACAAAAATTGTTTTGATTCTTTAAATATATTTTAAATACAGAATCGACTTCAGCTTATGAAACCAAAGCAAACGTTTATGAAAGGTCTGTTTATATTGTTAAATAATCTTTTCAAACACCACGCGAGGTAAGAATTTTTTTTTAAGAACATTTTGTTGTTTTCTTACAAATTATGCAAATTTCACTCTACAAAATCCTCCCGTAATTTTAAGAAGGATTTTGTTTCGTAAAATTTAGACGCATAATTTCCAGAAACAAAAAACTGTTCTCAAAAAAATGTTCACCTCTTGTGGTATTACCATTGATAATTACTTATATAGTCATGGAAATTGTTTAGTCGTTGATTGTGATTTATCCAAAAATTAAAAGATAATAAGCAATAAATTCAATAGCTAATACTAATATTGTTTTATTAGTTAAAAAATAAAAAAAAATAAATAAAAACAACGGAAAACAGGTAGCTCAGTAAAACACTACTTACTTACTATTATACTAGTAAAAACATACTTATAATATATGTATAAAAAAAATATTTAAACTCGCTAGTATCTGTCTTTATTAAATTTATTTTTTCTTTATTAAGCTGGCTTCTGTAATTTACCAGTGTACATTTTCTACACTACAGCTTTTATGAAAGTCCATTTTTTATCTTAAAATATCGTCTAAATATGCAATAAGTGAACACTCGGTATAAAATAATCTCAAGATATTTGTTGCGGTTCATTCTGATATTCAAAATTTTCTTTGGAATCATACCACATATGGCTGACAATTTAAAAACTTACAATGGTTATATCTCATGAACTAAAGATGATATATTCAGAAAAGTGTAACCTAATAAAAACAATTTATTTTGTACTCATGAACGAATATACAGGGTGGATCACCAAGAACTTCATCGATCGATATCTCAGAAACTGGATGTAGGAAAAAATTTAAATCTGGAAACTTGCTAGATGTCTTGGGGCCTATTAAGCAATTTCGGTTGACCGGAAATAGACCTTAAGTTGCTTATTTTAAATAGGGCATCCTATTATTATTACAATTTTGAATTCTACTTCAGATTCCAGGCAGGTTTTATGTATCATATGCCTAAGTCAAAGCGATTTTAAAATTTCAGTTTTTATATCAAAAATATAATTATCAATTATTCCTAAAGGAAGCCCTTATTACTTACTTCGGGTTGGAAAATAAGAAAAATGGGGATTTCCATAAAAAAAAGTCTTTTGGCACTTTTCTCAATCTCATTTTAAACCTTGTTTTTGAACACTCTGTATGATTAGTTGTCCAAATAAAAAAAATATATTAAACTAGATTCTTTTTAACAAGGAATTCAACTCAAATTAACCAATAAGACTTCTGGTTCTCTCATTTTTTCTTAGTCTACTTTGGACCACTTTAAGATATGGACAATATTTGGAAATAAAAAAATATTATTTTTAAAATCGGTAAGATACGCAATTTTCTGTTCTTTGATGTCAAATCAGCGGCGGTAAAGTCGGGTATCTACAAAAGTTCGCAGGATATTTGAAACTTTTTTATTATTAGCTTTACGAAAAAAAGTTTTTTCTTCATTAAAAGTTCTGCATGGTCTGAAAACTAAAATGCAACTAAGATATCAAATTTTTACAATACTATACGAGATATATCAAATAATATGAATTTAGCTAAAATAAAGTACCTTTATTTTTGACAAATCTCGTATACGACTGATTAAATTTGATATTTGATGTTTGCATTCTAGGTTTTAGACCATTCCGAACTTTTTATGAAAAATATGCTACGAACTTAAGAACACGCTGTATAAAAAATTAAAATATTTTACTTGTTCTTTTCGACTTACTTCTGTTTTGAATGATTCTTACAAAACGGAAAGCACCGTAATAAATCACATAAAATGTTTTTAAATACGCAATGTTGCCATATTCACTGGCTCATGATGATACGGAATTACTTTCAATACGTATATATAATTATATACCGCAAATATCTACCTAAGCGCCGCAAATGTCAAACTCTTGAACTACATATTGGAGTTTCGTACATTCCTGAACCAATAAAAAAGGGGGAATATCCGGCAATGTGTTGGGCGCGAAGATTTGAAAACATAATTTGCAGATTCCTTTAATATTTAACTATTACAATCAAGTTTCAATTTAAGGATAGAGTGGGTATTAAATAATTTAACACAGCAAAACAAACCTGATCCAATATACTGGTTCAGGTTTGTGATGGTGGTTCAAGATTGTTAGCTCAAGTTACTACTTCTGGTTCAGGTTTGGATGGTTACCGTAAATATATATATATATATATATATATATATATATATATATATATATATATATATATATATATATATATATATCAAAGGATTTGTTACTTCTTCGCATAATTTCGTTCAGACTCGTCGCTCGCACCGGAAACTCGCTAACGTGCTTTTTTTAATCTATTTACACGTGCGATAGGCGTCACCGTCGCGGCGATAATTCAAATATTCGAGCGCGCGTTCTAGCCGAACGCGCAAAGCGCAGAAGTGTCATAATCGATTGTTTTTCGAGGTAGGCTAGTGTAAAGAAACACTATGGACGTGGTTTGAGTGGAAAACTTAATTAATTCCAATCTAACAGGCCGATTCTGCCGCAAGAAGATAACGTTGTGATATTAACACGATATCTTATCGATCATATCCGGCAGTGGATTCGAGTTGTGAATTTTCGTGTGAATAGAAAGTGTTGAATGTCTTTAGGGAAAATGTCGCAAAACGGTAAGAAGTTTCTTATTAATATATAGAAAATATTAGTTACAAAAGTATTATAGTCTGTAAATTCATTCTATTTAATATAGATATGGATAGATTTTTTAAAAACTTATATTTCTTTTAATTTCTCCTGAAAAACATTTTAATTATCACTAAATTCTACACCTTTTTGATAGGCGATGTCGGTTTATTTAAAAGCAAACCAAAGTTGGTCTAATATCGTTTGTGGTAATTTTAAATCATATTACAATATAGGAAAATATTTCAGGTGGACTATTTTAATTGAACCACCCTGTGTATGCTTCCGCATTTTTTTTTTTTTGTAAAATTTCATATTATTTATTGATCTACTTTTTTTTAGAAAAAGATTTCAAGGAACGTCTCATAACAACCGTGAAAAAAGAAGTAAAACAGGTGATGGAAGAATCAGTAACCAGAAAATTTGTACACGAAGAAAGTGGGAGTGTGACTTCATTGTGTGGAGCTGTAGAAGCTTGTCTTTCTCAGGGTAAGTTCGTTAAAATTATATTAAAATCAGAAGAAAAGGTGTCTTTTATACCTTCTATACCTCATCCTTTTTTTATACCTCCTACACATCTCCACAGTCAATTAATGAGGTGAATCTCCATACTACTTTTCATAGTTATCTGTTTTCGAAACTGTGGAGAATGTGAGTTGCATTTTACTCCTGTTTCTAACCTTAATGTTCTCCTCCTAAATCTCTTGAAACTCGTGAAATCCCTATACTTTTTTAACAGTAATTACATTTGTTTATCTAGGTTTACGTAGACGAGCTTTGGGTCTGTTCAAAACGTCTTCCACGACTGCTTTACTTCATAAGATAGCTAAACATAGCCCTGAAGCAGCAATTATTTCTAAAAAAGTAGAAGAATTAGAAAATTTGGACCCTAACAGAAGATCCTCTTCGAGTAGCGATAGTGTAACAAAACCTACTTTGAAGAAAAGTGCTTCTGTACCTGCCAATCCACTGCCAAAATATCTCTGGATTCGGTAGGCTTTTCCTGAACTTGCAAAACATTTTGTTAATTATTGTTAATACTTTTTAAGGTTAGCACTTTTCGAAAAACAATTGGCCAAAATCATAGACTTCCTAGTTTCAAACGCCACAAAATATTATGACAAAGATGCTTTGGTCGCTGATGCTGAGTATGGTACCATATTAAGTTCCTTACTTATGGGTCCCTGCGCACTTGATTATACGAGAATGAAAAACCACGACCATTTTTGGACAGATCCTCCAGCTGACGAATTAGTAAGACATATTAATAGCAATTAATCTAAATCTAAGTCCCAAATTAGTATCCTAGCCCTGTCTCTACAACCTGATGTACCTCTTTTATTGTAGGTTCAAAGACATAGAATATCAAGCGGCCATTCGACGCCACCATCAGTGCGTCGACCAATTTTAAATTTTCGAAGATCTCTTAACACGAGTTCAGAAGATAGTCATACGAATCGGTCGTCTACTCAACAAATAGCTAAAGATTACGTCGAGACGTTACATCAAAATTCAAAAGCTACTTTATTATTTGGAAAAAACAACGTTTTAGTGCTACCTGTGAATTCCGATTTATCTAAACCTATACCAGGGTAAATACAAAATTATTTAATATTAGATTTTTCTTTGTACTATTAGATTTTGCAAAAATTTTAACGCCTATTTATTCTAGGTATTTAAGTTTGCATCAAATGCCTCAAGGGCTAGCTATAAAATGGACTCCAAATCAATTAATGAATGGATTTGTAGACGATTCCCAAGACAAAAGGTGAATATTACTTTTTTTAACCAATATTCATTTATTTATTTATTCAAAAAATTTGATTATCTTCGTTATTTTTCAGCATTTTTTGGGAATATGCTTTAAACGTCAGATTAGATGATATTGTGTATGTACACTGTCACCAAGATAGCGAGACCGGTGGTACAGTTATACTAGTAGGACAAGATGGAGTTCAAAGGCCCCCAATCCATTTTCCTAAAGGTATGTCTATTACTTGAAATTAAATTATTTGAAGTTCATAATATACCCTCAAAAATACTACTGCAGATTTTTAAATGGATTTTTTTGCTATACTTTATGATTACCAAACATTTTTGGTATCTGCACATTTTTTTATTAAATAATTCGTATTAATTGTAATGGCAAATGGGCATAAAAAACTAAATGATTAAATATATATCAAGGATTCTCTATTTCTAGACGGACGGAAGACTAAACCTAGTAACGTCATGGTTTAGTCTTCCGTCCGACTAGAAATCAAGAGGCTTCCTGGTTTAGTCTTCCGTCGGACTAGAAATAGAGAATCCTTCAATCCTCTTCGTGAATGTTTAACATATAAGTAAGCTTCCTTAACATAAATTGGTTCATAAAACGATTTTTGACATTAATTTGATAGTCACTGGCTATTCTTCATCTTAAAATGGTTAAATTATGAGGGATTTGTTTAATATTTTAAGTATAAATAGTTTTTACCATATGGTTTAGATAAAAATAAAATGTTAGACATAATTAATTTCTACAAATTTTGTAAATCCTGATAGATTACTTTTTAATACAAAAATAATTATTGATTACTGTTCAGGTATACTTGTAGTTTCTATTTTGTAGGTGGACATATGTTGGCTTTTTTAAGTTGCATTGAAACTGGTCTTTTACCACATGGACGATTAGATCCACCATTATGGTCGCAAAGGTCTGGAAAAAATCATACGAAAAGAAGACGACCTTTGCCAGCTTTGACTGAAACCGAAGAAACGTCTAAAGACTACGTTTTCAGGATCATAGATAATACTTGCAATCATAAGGATATTTGTAAGTATTTTTATTTAAAATAATATTTATATTACGGAAGGGTGGGGTACAGTGGTACAGTTTTATTCGAGATTTAATTTTTCTGTATATCCAAAGTTTTCTTTTTTTGACACTATAAAAGATATTTGACTAATATTTTCATGAAAAATATGACTAACACACCCTTGGAGTGTATATACATTAATAAATTACGATTTTTTCCATTTTTATATATTTAATATGGTTGTATAGACAAAGGAAAGTTAACGTTCAAATGGTACTTCGTTACATCCCCCCCTTTTATCAAAATTCGATTTTTTTTGTATAGAGAATGTCCGGAACGTGATTAAATGGTTAGAGGTTCTTCGGATGAGGTTATTATGATTACCAAAGGACAAGTAATTACCCCCTGCCCCCTACAAATTGTGTGGAAGGGATGAAATATTTTTTTGATAAATTGTATAAAAATGGGGGACTGAAAGGAGTCTATTTTTCTAGTGAAAAGAAATGAACTAATGGACACCCATGCATCACTACCCACAAAAGTACGAGTACAACTTGGCAGTACTAGTACTAGTTCAGACAGTTCAACGAAAAGTTTCAGTTTAGATCAAAATATTCCCGATAGTCCTCCAAGCGTAGTTGTTCAAGCAGTCTGTGATTCCATGAAACGACAAATCATATCCAGGTGAAGTATTTTTAAATTTAAATCCTCTTCCTCATTTGTTTTGTCCCAATTCACGTATTCGCGCGGTCAGATTGAGCAACATAACTAGCGTCTATTATCTTAGCAGTGTTGCCAATATTCGAATAATTATAAGATTTTCGGGAAATAGTACGTAAATAGTACGCCAATAGTACGCATATAGTACGCAATTAGTACGATTTGTGTAATTTCTTCAATTATGATTTTTCTCGATGTCACTATTTATTTTTAATTTTTTTAGGGCATTTTACGGATGGTTGGCATATTGCAGACACCTGTCTACAGTTCGAACTCATTTAAGTGGGTTAGTAAACACGAAAATCGTAAACGGAGTAGGCGCCAGCGATGGTATAACTCTAGAAAAGTGGTCGGAACTTTGTTTGAATGGCGTAGTGTCCGATTACGCCGAAGTTTATAGATTAACCTATTTTGGAGGGATAACGGAAGCGCTGAGGCACGAAATTTGGCCTTATCTACTAGGACACTATAAATTTGGTAGTACCTTAGAACAACGCAACGAACTTAGTGATGAAACCAGACAAGCGTGAGTAGATAGCATAAGAAAATTACGAAGTTGACTTATTAATAATTTTTTTTTAATATAGATACGAAAATACAATGTCAGAGTGGTTAGCCGTAGAAGCTATAGTGAAGCAGAGAGACAAAGAAAACCAAGCTCATGCGATTGCAAAACTTAGTAGTGAAAGTATGTCAGGGGAACAAGTTCCACCTCAAATACATGAAGAGTTGTGTAATGAGGTAATTTATATAAAGTATACTTTGTTACCTCAAAAGTAGATACCTAACTAGCGTTCTCACCTCATTTATATGACGTTTACACCTCAGAATAGTGAGGTGACAACGTTTAACCCTTTTGTCATCGCTGGAAAAAATTACTAGTGTGTGACATAATTTGCAATATTATAATGTTTTTCAGGTATTTGAAGATGATTCAATAACAGACAACGAAGGAGATTCATTAGAAGAAAAAGAAACCAGTGCTAAAAGACCCAAACACACGAAACAAAACACCATCAAATATGTCGATGATGAAGAAGATTCTGGTGGAGAACAACAGGCAGAAGAAAGGGAAAAACAAGCTAATGAAGAAAATGATGGAAAAAATGTACAAAACGAAGGCGCCTTAAAAAGTAAAAATAATATTAGTATGTTATTCATTTCAACCAATACTAAATGTTTCTTTTTTTAAATACAGAAAACGATTTAACAACTGATAAAGAAGACCTGGAAGTTGCCAAAGAAGATTCTTATATAAACGTTAACGAAGAATTAAAAGACTTCATTCATAATGTCATTGTGATAAATGCAAGTGTTGACATTTGCAGTTTAAGTAAGTATTTCTAATGATGTTATATTCCTCAATGTTTTTCCGAAGAATGTGTAGTGCTATTAAAATACGAAAGAAAAAATTCTGTGAGCTTAAATTTATCCAGAAATAATACAGAATCGTTATTATCGTACCATTAAATATATTTTTAGGTAATGATAATCCTAGAATGACAAATTTAGATGCTGTAACAGAAGAAAACAATTCTTCTTTAGATACATGTATAGAAACACACGGTTTAGCTTCACCTGCGAGATCCAACTGCGTTTCACCTGCAAGTTCTAATGGAGGAGTATATAGTGTAAGTAACAGAATTAGATCAGTTTAAATTTAATTTAATAATTTCTACAGCGCGTTTATTTTTAAACGTTCCAACGTTGCAACAAATTTATTTATGACAGAGACTGTATTTCTGCAATCAGAAGTTCATCAGGTTATGGTAAAAATATCGACACCGAAACTTATTCACTTATTGAAAGCTTTGTAGAGATGTCGACCCCGAGACATTCTTTCTGTTGAACGTCTGAAACTGGAGTGAGGCAAGCGGCCTTTAATTTGCAATTTTTTTCATTTTAGCAAGAACTTTTGGAAACGTTCGGTCTTAACCTTCATCGAATAGAAAAAGACGTACAAAGATGCGATAGAAACTACTGGTATTTTATGGAAAAAGAAAATTTGGATAAATTGCGTAATGTTATGTGCACGTAAGTATAGAATTCAACTCACAATGCTCATAAAACATTATTTAAATGTTATTGTAGGTATGTATGGGAGCATTTAGACATTGGTTACATGCAAGGGATGTGCGACCTCGTAGCACCCCTTCTGGTAATTTTTAATGACGAATCATTGACGTACGCGTGTTTTTGCCATCTTATGGAAAGAATGGTCGAAAATTTTCCGAATGGTAATGCAATGGACTGCCATTTTGCAAACATGCGTTCGTTGATACAAATTTTGGATTCGGAAATGTATGAATTGATGCACGCGCATGGCGATTACACACATTTTTATTTTTGCTACAGGTATAATTAAAATAAAAGCATTTTAAATCGATAATAGTGGGATTTATTTTATTAGGTGGTTTTTGTTAGATTTTAAAAGAGAATTGATGTATCCAGATGTTAATGCTACTTGGGAAGTGATTTGGGCGGCACAACAAGTGGCTTCCAGCCATTTTGTGCTGTTTTTAGCGCTGGCACTGCTAGAAACTTATAGAGATATTATCCTATCTAATGGAATGGATTTTACAGATATTATCAAATTTTTTAATGGTAAGAATTTATTGAAAACTAATTCTACCCCAGTATATATATATATATATATATATATATATATATATATATATATATATATATATATATACAAAAATCGTACCTTGTTGCGTCTGTAAGAAAACAAACAGTTATTTCTGATTTGAGTGCATGCGAATACTCGTTTATTTCATAGATGTGGATAATTAATATTTGCAAGTCATAAAAATCAACCTTATCAGCTCAATATATGAGCTATACCATACATTTTTGCGTCCATGGGGTGTTGCCAAACTAACAAAAACTGAATATCGGCCTATTAAGATTTCCTTAAAAAGTCTAATGAGCTAATTTGGTCAATATCAAAAATAAGCAATAACTTTTTTAATTTACATTTTCTACTACTGATACATCAGGTGTTACATTTTCTAGTGATAGAATTAGAAATTATATTATATTTTTCTATTAAAAAAAACTTCCCCTACCATAATCTTATCATAAAACTAGTTGTTGCCCGCGATTTTAATTTATTTTTATGGTTTTTTATTGATTTCCATTGATTTTTACTGATTTCTCTTGATTTCTATTGATTTCTATTGATTTCTATTGATTTCTATTGATTTCTATTGATTTCTATTGATTTCTATTGATTTCTATTGATTTCTATTGATTTCTATTGATTTCTATTGATTTCTATTGATTTCTATTGATTTCTATTGATTTCTATTGATTTCTATTGATTTCTATTGATTTCTATTGATTTCTATTGCGTTCACCACCAAACTTAAAAACCTATAAAATCATAAGGATCTCACAAGATATCGCCTAGTTTTAAGAAGGTATGGAAATCTATGAACGTCTATCAACTGTTCGCGCTAACATCGGTTGACATTGCGTCCGATATACGGACGCAATAATGTATGTGTTGGGGATGTTGATGGACGCAACATTGATATAATTCCGTATATATTTATATATATTTTTTTTGAATAAAAATTTGCGCACTAGAATAAGAGTAAAAATGGTATTAATTGTATTAAAATATATATTTTTATTTTAGAAATGGCAGAAAGACACAACGTCCAATCAGTATTAAAACTAGCAAGAGAATTAGTACTCCAATTACAAATCCTTATTGAAAACAAATGAAACCAAATTGACAGAATGCGCACATAAATAACAAAATAATTTAAAGTTGGGCAATCTATTAGTGACAAAACACGAAATACTATTATACAAATTTAGATATATTATATAATTTAAATTTAAAATAACTAAATATTACATATGTGATTTACTGTGACTGTAGTAAATTTTTATTTTTGTACGATATATGGTTTGAAGAAGAAAAAGGAATATATAGTTAAATAATTGAGAAAATATAGTAGGAAATACATATTAATTTATTTTACATAAAAGAGTAAATATACTGTATACCTGAAATTCATTCATATTCATTTTGTGATATTATTAAGTACTAGCATAAGAGTGAATCAACGCACATGTGTATTTGAGATTTTGATTTAGTAAAAAATCTATTTAATTACACATTGATTGGCTATTTAAATGGAAACATTTATTGCAATGGTTCTGACGACCAAAATATTTTGATTTTTTTTAATAAACCCATCTCTATAGTGTTATTTAATTTATTTATCATATGGTTAACTCGTTCGTTTTAAAATCTTTATTCTCTTGATTTCTAGTCGGACGGAAGACTAAACCAAGGATTCTTCAACCTAGAGACGTCATGGTTTAGTCTTCCGTCCGACTAGAAATCAAGAGCCTCCTTGGTTTAGTCTTCCGTCCGACTAGAAATCAAGAGACCCCTTGGTTTAGTCTTCCGTCCGACTAGAAATAAAGAGAATCTTTAATTTCTATTCGGGTGGCTGGTCAATCACGAGCTATCGCGGTGGGTTATGTCGTTTTGTTGGTATTTTAGTAATATCTACGCTGTAGTGGAGTTATGTTATTTTATAATGTTTGCTCATTCGAATATTGAACTAACTAGGTCAAATATCTTAAATTAACATGATGCAAAAATAATATAAACTACATTTGTAACGTCTGTTTTTTTAGGATAAGTATATAAAATATTTCTATATCTTTTTAAAATATTACACGAGGAAATAAATTTATATATGTGTATCTTTAAAAAAAATCTTCCATATAAGCCAAATCAAAATGTTAAAAAATGTGTGAGAAAATGATTGAAAAATAGGAAAGGAAAAGTCATTTGTATCCTTTCTCTAAAGAGATAAGGTACAAACTACTTTTCTTTCAGATTTTTTTTTATATTAATATAAATCGTTTAGATTGTCAATTGTATTTAAAAATTATGAAAATAGGTACCAATTCTTTAGCGTTTTTTCCCGATACATTTTCATGTAAGAAAGCAAACGAATAAAAGAAATAACAATCTAGAAATGTTAATCCGTGTCAAGAAATATCTGGAAGGTTCGAGAAGATTCAAGGGATTTATATTTGACGACACAGCTTTCTTGCAGGAAAAAGCGTCAGTGGGTAGATATCTAAATTAAAATCGCACGAAAATACTTTATTTTACTATACAAAATTTAATAAATTATATTTACTTACTAAAACTCAATGTTTATGTCTATTTTAGTAATCAAAGCTCACATTAAATACATTATTTTGAGTATTTTTGTTATTTACCTACCTGTTACTAATCAAGCGTTTCAACGCCCTGTCAAAATGCTGCCCGTAATGACAAATTATGATATGGCAATCCTGTGATTGTCTTTGACAGGATCAATGATATTTATAGTTATATAGACTGCTCAAAGCGGCTATATTACCTTGTTGAACAAAAAAAAAGAAGCGGCAGTCTAGCAGCAAATACACTCTTAAAGAATCCACTTTAATACTACAAAACTCTAATGCAGATGGACCTTCAATTTGATATCGACAAAAATCCCTTAAACGGGTGTGAAATGGGTTATCACTACAAAATGATAAATGCATCTCCAATGTACAACTTAGGTACTACGAATAAATTGCCATAAAAATGAAATTAAGGTCGGTTTTGGGGGGTTAACTTATTTCCTGGTATATTGAATAAGTTAAAGGCCAAAACAAGGTATAAAAGGACAATAATAAAACACAATTTAAAATATTTTTTTCCAAATTATTTTTTTAATGAATAATAAATTTTACTTTAGACTTATTTTAATAACAATAATACGTTCATTTTTAAGTATACCTAACATAATATAACTATTTAAAAGTAAACGTTATATTAAAATTGAATTCAGTACTATCTAAAGATTGCCGAAATAACTGAGCATGTTGCCATGCTGTGTCACCCTTTCCTCCAGACAGGGTTGCTGTAATGATTAGTTCATTTGATCCAGAAAAATCATTTGTAGTAAACAACTTATCTAAAAAAATAGATTCTAGACTAAAATATACTTAGTCAAAAAGTTTTGATAACTTATAAATGTTATAAGCAGGAATTTTCGTTGTTTTAAATCAAGCTGGCGCCCTTTATATGAATACATTGAATCTCGGTACTAAACGAACCAAGTCTTTCTCTACTCAGAGAAAAACAGGAATCAGAGTATCAGATAGTCGAGAATTAAGTGAGAGCACTTTTTAAAAAACAAAAATTCTTTTTAAAACCTTTATTAAGCGAAGATAACAATGATCTGATGATTTTTTCAGTTTCAACTTTTATTTATAATTTTAGTATAAAGTGCAACGTTAACCAATCAGGATCTCGACAAACATTTATTTTAAGTACTATATTATACAAAAATTAACAAAAAACAATGAAAAAAACAAAAATAAAACAAAAAACAAACCCAAAAAAACAAAACAAATAAAAAACAAAAAGATACAAAAAACACTTGTTTTTTGTTTTTCGTTTTCTTGTTATTAAAATAAATATTTGTCTGGGATCCTTCCCAAACATTTATTTTAAGTACCTACTAATTATACTAAAAAAAAAACAAAAAAACAAGAAAACAAAAAATAATAAATACAAAAAACGCAAAAAACAAAACGGAAAATAAAAGAAACAAAAAAGAAAAACAAAGAAAAAAGCAGAAAACAAGAAAAACAAAAGGCAAAAAAACAAGAAAAACAAAACAAAAAATAAAAAAACAAAAAACGCAAATAAAATAAAACAGAAAACAAAAGAAACAAAATAAAAAAATTTTAAAAATACAAAATACTAAAGAAAACTTGTTTTTTGTTGTTTTTCGTTTATTTTGTTTTTGTTTTTTTTTTTTAATATAACAGTATTTAAAATAAAGAAAAATAGAAAAAAAACAAAAGACGCAAAAAAAACAAGAAAAAAATAACAGAAAAATAAAAAAACAATAAACGCAAAAAACAAAAACAAGAAAAAAATAAGAAACAAAAAACACTCGTTTTTTGTCTTCGGATATTTTTTTTTTTGTTTTTTTTTTTGTTTTTTTTTTGTTTTTTTTTTGTTTTTTTGTTTTTTTTTTTGTTTTTTTGTTTTTTTTTTTGTTTTTTTTTTGTTTTTTTTTGTTTTTTTTTGTTGTTGTTTTTTTTGTTGTTTTTTTTTTAATAATATAATAATACTACTCTCCCTAATTCACCCCCTTACGAGTGAATTTCAACCCCTGAAGTCGACTGAACGACTTGTAGGGGAAGGGACGGCTATTATTATTTGCCGTAACGCTCCGGGGCGACTTAAAGATGATTGATGGTGCCATTTGACTTACAGGTGAGGAAAACCCGGAAAACCTCACCCACCATCATCGAGACTGTAATGCATGGCGATTTTTTAATCTGAATTTCTATTAATACGGCACACATCAAATCCTAAACCAAACCATGCAATTTAATTAAAAATCCACATGGTCCGGTCTGGGATTCGAAACCCAGCAGTCTCAGACTCATAAACTTGCCTATAAATGAATATAAGCGCGTTAGACCGCTACACTACCGACCTGATAATAATAAAACAGTACTTAAAATAAATGTTTGTCTGGGATCCTTCCCAAACATTTATTTTAAGCACTAAATATACTAAAAAAACAAAAAAAAAACAAAAAAACAAAAAAAAAGAACATTAAAAAAACAAAACAGAAAACAAAAAACAAAAACAAGAAAAACAAAAAACGCAAATAAAACAAAGCAGAAAACAAAATAAAAAAATTCAAAACACTAAAAAACAAAAAACTGTTTTTTTTTGTTTTTCTTTTTTTGTATTTTTTTGTTTTTTTTAATATTACAGTACTTAAAATAAATAAAAAACAAAGAAAAAACAAAAACAAGACAAAAAAATAAAAAAAATACAAAAAAACGCAAAAAAAAACAAAACAAAAACAAGAAAAAAAAAATAAAAATACAAAAAAAAAACTTGTTTTTTGTTTTCCATTTTTTTAAACTTTTTTTTTATTTTTTTTAATATAAATATTTAAAACAAGAAAACAAAACAAAAGAAACAAAAACAAGAAAGGCAAAAAACAAAACAAACAAAAATAACAAAAAACAAAAACGCAAATAAAACAAGCCGAAAACAAAAGAAACAAAAATAAAATACAAAACACTAAAAAAACCAAAAACACTAGCTTTTCGTTTTATTGTTTTTTGTTTTTTTTTAATATAACATAGTACTTACAATAAAGAAAAACAAAGAATAACAAAAGAAACGAAAACAAAATAAAAAATACAAAACACTAAAAAAACCAAAAAAACTTGTTTTTCGTTTTTTTTTTGTTTTTTGTGTTTGTTTTTTTTTTGTTTTATTAATATAATATAGTACTTAAAATAAATGTTTGTCTGGGATCCTTCCCAAACATTTATTTTAAGCACTAAATATACTAAAACAAAAAAAAACAAAACAAAAAAAAACAAAAAAAAAACAAAAAACAAAAAAAAAAAAAAAAAAAAAAAAAAAAAAAGAACATTAAAAAAACAAAACAGAAAACAAAACAGAAAACAAAAAACAAAAACAAGAAAAACAAAAAACGCAAATAAAACAGCAGAAAACAAAAAACTGTTTTTTTTTGTTTCTTTTGTTTTTTGTATTTTTTTGTTTTTTTTAATATAACATAGTACTTAAAATAAATAAAAAACAAAGAAAAAATAAAAACAAAAGAAAAAAATAACAAAAATACAAAAAAACGCAAAAAAAACAAAACAAAAACAAGAAAAAAAAAATACAAAACAAAAAACACTTGTTTTTTGTTTTCCATTTTTTTAAACTTTTTTTTAATTTTTTTTAATATAACTATTTAAAACAAGAAAAACAAAACAAAAGAAACAAAAACAAGAAAGGCAAAAAACAAAACAAACAAAAATAACAAAAAACAAAAACGCAAATAAAACAAGCCGAAAACAAAAGAAACAAAAATAAAATACAAAACACTAAAAAAACCAAAAACACTTGCTTCTCGTTTTCTTGTTTTTTGTTTTTGTTTTTTTTTTTGTTTTTTTTTAATATAACATAGTACTTAAAATAAAGAAAAACAAAGAAAAACAAGAATAACAAAAGAAACGAAAACAAAATAAAAAATACAAAACACTAAAAAACCAAAAAAACTTGTTTTTCGTTTTTTTTTTGTTTTTTGTGTTTGTTTTTTTTTTGTTTTATTAATATAATATAGTACTTAAAATAAATGTTTGTCTGGGATCCTTCCCAAACATTTATTTTAAGCACTAAATATACAAAAAAAAAAAACAAAAAAAAACAAAAAAAAAACAAAAAACAAAAAACAAAAAAAAAAAGAACATTAAAAAAACAAAACAAAACAAAACAGAAAACAAAACAGAAAACAAAACAGAAAACAAAACAGAAAACAAAACAGAAAACAAAACAGAAAACAAAAAACAAAAACAAGAAAAACAAAAAACGCAAATAAAACAAAGCAGAAAACAAAAAACTGTTTTTTTTTGTTTCTTTTGTTTTTTGTATTTTTTTGTTTTTTTAATATAACATAGTACTTAAAATAAATAAAAAACAAAGAAAAAACAAAAACAAAAGAAAAAAATAACAAAAATACAAAAAAACGCAAAAAAAAACAAAACAAAAACAAGAAAAAAAAAAAAAATACAAAACAAAAAACACTTGTTTTTTGTTTTCCATTTTTTTAAACTTTTTTTTTAATTTTTTTTAATATAACTATTTAAAACAAGAAAAACAAAACAAAAGAAACAAAAACAAGAAAGGCAAAAAACAAAACAAACAAAAATAACAAAAAACAAAAACGCAAATAAAACAAGCCGAAAACAAAAGAAACAAAAATAAAATACAAAACACTAAAAAAACCAAAAACACTTGCTTTTCGTTTTCTTGTTTTTTGTTTTTATTGTTTTTTTTTTTTGTTTTTTTTTAATATAACATAGTACTTAAAATAAAGAAAAACAAAGAAAAACAAGAATAACAAAAGAAACGAAAACAAAATAAAAAATACAAAACACTAAAAAAACCAAAAAAACTTGTTTTTCGTTTTTTTTTTGTGTTTGTTTTTTTTTTGTTTTATTAATATAATATAGTACTTAAAATAAATGTTTGTCTGGGATCCCAAACATTTATTTTAAGCACTAAATATACTAAAAAAAACAAAAAAAAAACAAAAAAACAAAAAAACAAAAAAAAACAAAAAAACAAAAAAAAAACAAAAAAAAAAACAAAAAAAAGAACTTTAAAAAAACAAAACAGAAAACAAAAAACAAAAACAAGAAAAACAAAAAACGCAAATAAAACAAAGCAGAAAACAAAATAAAAAAATTAAAAAAATTCAAAACACTAAAAAACAAAAAACTGTTTTTTTTTGTTTTTCTTTTGTTTTTTGTATTTTTTTGTTTTTTTTTTAATATAACATAGTACTTAAAATAAATAAAAAAACAGAAAAAACAAAAACAAAAGACAAAAAAATAAAAAAAATACAAAAAAACGCAAAAAAACGCAAAAAAACACTTGTTTTTTTTTTTTCCATTTTTTTAAACTTTTTTTTTATTTTTTTTAATATAACTATTTAAAACAAGAAAAACAAAACAAAAGAAACAAAAACAAGAAAGGCAAAAAACAAAACAAACAAAAATAACAAAAAACAAAAACGCAAATAAAACAAGCCAAAAACAAAAGAAACAAAAATAAAATACAAAACACTAAAAAAACCAAAAACACTTGCTTTTCGTTTTCTTGTTTTTTGTTTTTTTTTTGTTTTTTTTTTGTTTTTTTTTTGTTTTTTTTTTTATAACATAGTACTTAAAATAAAGAAAAACAAAGAAAAACAAGAATAACAAAAGAAACGAAAACAAAATAAAAAATACAAAACACTAAAAAAACCAAAAAAACTTGTTTTTCGTTTTTTTTTTTTTTGTTTTTTGTGTTTTTTTTTTGTTTTTTTAATATAATGTAGTACTTAAAATAAATGTTTGTCTGAGATCCTTCCCAAACATTTAAGTACTAATTATACTAAGAAAACAAAAAATAAGAAAAACAAAAAACAAAACCACAAAAAAACAAAAAAAAACGGTTACACCATTTTCTTTAAAACTAAAACGCCCAACCACTTTGAAAAACCAATCAGGATCCCAGACAAAACGTTTATTTTCAGCACCATATTTTCTTACCTTTAGGTAATATCACACAATTATCGTTGGTACAAATTCTAACATTAACGATACCAGTCTCATATGTTTTCTGATCCGTTTGTACAACTACAGTTTGCAATGATTTATTTGACTCAGTAAAATCAAATTTCCAGGATAATGAACCCTTTTCTTCTGACTCTACAAAATAATATTTAAATTCAAACTTGGGGTAGGAAAGAAGAGTTTGGTGCGAGTGAGAGATAATACTGTGGCAAGAAGGAAATTTAGAACCATGTTGAAGAAAAATAATAAAGAAAACTGAAAAAATTAACCAAAAAAGGAATAGAATGTGCATTTAAGCATCCCCACAATTTATACCAATCTATCTTACTTTTTCTCGCTAAATAAACCATATTCCAGTCATTTTCTTCTTTCCTAAACACTTCTTTGAACTCAAACGTTCCATTTTCCCAACCCATCAATTTTTTGATCGTTTTATTTCCTGAAATATATTCGTATGTATTTAAAGCAACCGAATATCTAATAGTTACACTATTATCGATAATATCTTCATGTTTTATTTGCCATACATGTTGCGATTGAGCCGCTGACTGAACTTCTCCCCTGGATATTCGCCATATCTCCGATCCGGATATTCTACCTTGAAAATCGTCTGTTTTGGCTTTCCTAATGAAAAAATTAATCTTAATGTTGTTTTCTGTGATTGGTGTACGAAGATGTAGTTTTAGAACAAAGAGAACCACTATGGCATAATTTGTACCAAAAATCACCGCGAGATGGCTGCCTTCGTTGACGTGAATAAGGTTTTATAACGGGATAAATGAAACATATACAAAGTAAACGAAAAATCAAAAACAAAAAGGCATTTACTTATATCTCTGTTATTATTAGTCCGAATAATATTGAAGAAATGCTATTAATTGTGAACGAACTGTCATCTAGCTGTCATTTCTAGTAAAAGCGGTCTAAGACGTCTGACAAAAGTGCATTGACTTATATCTTCGTTACGATCAATTTTTCGGAACGTGCAGCTTAAAACCGGTTGGGATTTAGAATAAACATTATAAAGAATCTCATAGAAAATAATATTAATAATATTGATGTTTATTCATCTTAAAAACATACAAATATACTATAAAGTAAAAAAATATCACAGAACTGGTGAATAATCTAATATTTCGAAAAATAATTTATTGATAAAAATGCAACAAACTGATTTTTTTCAATTTAAGCTATATTAAATTTATTATAAAAAAACAAGAGAGTGAAAAATCTAATATTTAGAAATTATGATTAAAAATTCGATGCGTTCAACCATTAATGAAAAGAAAACACGTGTATGACATGTGACATAAAAGATATGAAACGGCATGAGGTCCCTGCTAATTCAAGGAAATGTTATTTAAACAACTTTGGTTGTCTCTCCTGAAACTAAACTATTGATTTATTAAGCTGTATTAATTTTTATTGATTTTCATTGATTTTTATGGCTTTTTATTGCTTTTTTATTGCTTTTTATTGCTTTTTATTGCTTTTTATTGCTTTTTATTGCTTTTTATTGCTTTTTATTGCTCTTTATTGCTTTTTATTGCTTTTTATTGCTCTTTATTGCTCTTTATTGCTCTTTATTGCTTTTTAATAATCTTTAATGATTTTTTATTGCTTTTTATTGTTTTTTTATTGCTTTTTATTGCTTTGTACTGATTGTACTGATTTTTATTGATTTTTATTGATTTTTATGGATTTTTATTGATTTAATGATTTTTAATTTTTGTTGCTTTTTTAAAATGTTTTTATTGATTTTTTAAATGTTTTTATTGATTTTTTAAATGTTTTTATTGATTTTTTAAATGTTTTTATTGTATGTAATTGGTTTTTATTGATTTTTATTGTTTTTTTTTTATAGATTTTTATTGATTTTTTTTTATAGATTTTTATTGATTTTTATTAATTTTTATTAATTTTTATTGATTTTTATTGATTTTTATTGATTTTTATTGTTTTTTATTGATTTTTATTGATTTTTATTGTTTTTTATTGATTTTTATTGATTTTTATTGATTTTTATTGATTTTTATTGATTTTTATTGATTTTTATTGATTTTTATTGATTTTTATTGATTTTTATTGATTTTTATTGATTTTTATTGATTTTTATTGATTTTTATTGATTTTTATTGATTTTTATTGATTTTTATTGATTTTTATTGATTTTTATTGATTTTTATTGATTTTTATTGATTTTTATTGATTTTTAATAATTTTTTTTAATGTTTTTGTTGATTTTTATTGCTTTTTATTGATCTTTATTGCTGTTTATTGCTCTCTATTGCTTTTTAATAATCTTTAATGATTTTTTTATTAATTTTTATTGATTAATATTAATTTTTATTGATTTTTAATGATTTTTGTTGCTTTTTTAAAATGGTTTTGTTGATTTTTTAAATGTTTTTATTCTATGTAATTGGTTTTTATTGATTTTTGTGGATTTTTTATTGATTTTTATTGCTTTATATTGCTTTTGTTATTGCTTTTGTTATTGCTTTTTATTGCTCTTTATTGCTTTTTATTAATTTTTATTGATCAATAGTAATTTTTATCGATTTTTATGGATTTTTATTGATTTTCAATGATTTTTGTTGCTTTTTTAAAATGTTTTTGTTGATTTTTTAAATGTTTTTATTCTATGTAATTGGTTTTTATTGATTTTCGTTGATTTTTTATTGATTTTTATTGCTTTTTATTGCTCTTTATTGCTTTTTAATAATCTTTAATGATTTTTGTTACTTTTTTAAAATGTTTTTGTTGATTTTTTAAATGTTTTTATTCTATGTAATTGGTTTTTATTGATTTTTGTTGATTTTTTATTGATTTTTATTGCTTTTTATTGCTCTTTATTGCTTTTTAATAATCTTTAATGATTTTTGTTACTTTTTTAAAATGTTTTTGTTGATTTTTTAAATGTTTTTATTCTATGTAATTGGTTTTTATTGATTTTCGTTGATTTTTTATTGATTTTTATTGCTTTTTATTGCTCTTTATTGCTTTTTAATAATCTTTAATGATTTTTGTTACTTTTTTAAAATGTTTTTGTTGATTTTTTAAATGTTTTTATTCTATGTAATTGGTTTTTATTGATTTTTGTTGATTTTTATTGATTTTTATTGCTTTTTATTGCTCTTTATTGCTTTTTAATAATCTTTAATGATTTTTTTATTGCTTTTTATTTATTAATATTAATTTTTATTGATTTTTAATGATTTTTGTTATTTTTTTAAAATGTTTTTGTTGATTTTTTATTGATTTTTTGTTGATTTTTTTATTGATTTTTATAGATTTTTATTGATTTTTTTTAAGATTTTTATTGTTTTTTTTATAGATTTTTATTGATTGATTTTTATTTATTTCTAATGATTTTTTTAAATGTTTATATTGTATTTTATTGATTTTTGTTGTTTTTTTTTATTGATTTTTATTACTTTTTATTGATTTTTATTGCTTTTTATTGCTCTTTATTATTTTTTTAATAATCTTTAATGATTTTTTTTATTGATTTTTAATGCTTTTTATTGCTTTTTATTGCTTTGTACTGATTTTATTGATTTGTACTGATTTTTATTGACGTTTTTTATTGATTTTTATTTATTGATATATTTATTGTTAGTTAATTATATTTAATTTTATTTTTTTAATTTTTTTTATATATATATTTTTATATAGTTATTTTTATTTTTTATTTATTTTGATTTATTATGACTTACACAAATTATGAACTGTTAATGAACTGTTATCAATATCTTAACCGTCACTTCATACTTAAATTAGACAAATTTGGAACTCATTTTTTTCTAATATTTAATCTTTAATACTCGAATCAACAAACCAATTATTTATACAAATATAAATAAATAAATAAATAAATAAATAAATAAATAAATAAATAAATAAATAAATAAATAAATAAATAAATAAATAAATAAATAAATAAATAAATAAATAAATAAATAAATAAATAAATAAATAAATAAATAAATTAAATAAATAAATAAATAAATAAATAAATAAATAAATAAATAAATAAATAAATAAATAAATAAATAAATAAATAAATAAAATGACTTACTTTTCTACCAAAAATTCCGCTAACTCCATCAAATTCCTCTTTAATAAATACTTCTTTCTACTTGGCGATAAATTTTTCTGTAAATTAGATCTTATTTTAAAAATAGCCTGCAATAGTTCCACTTCTGAACAAGCAGTCCTTCTTTTTAACACATCTTTATGGTTACTAGAATATCTCCAAGTTACATCCTGGATTTCTTCCGGAGAATAAGCCATGACATAAGAAATCTTCTTATTCCAACCAGACTCGTATACAAGAGGAGTATCGCATAAATTTTCGCAAGGATCGCAGTGCAACCATCTTTTTTGGGTGGTAGAATAGACCTAATACACGTTTTTAAGTTTAATTAATAATTGAATGAAAGTAAAAGTAAATTTTTCTTAATTACTTCTGTCCACACGTGATCTCCTTCATCAACAACATATCTACTATCCCATCCCAAAGAACAGCAGCACAATGTAAAAGTATTTGCCCATTCACCGCATCGCCCGCGTCTCGTTTCGAGTAGAATATTTAAATCGTTATAGCGAGGAAATGGCGTAAATTTGTGACAATGTTTACACCTATGCAACTAAAAATAAATTATTTTTAATAATAGATAGCACAGTACGTCGTCAGCATTGGTACCAGAGCGTAGGACGATATTTGCAAGATGTTAAGTAGAAAATTATGTAACCTGTAAAATATTAATGTTCACCTTTTTATAAATGAAAAATTAGTATTTATATATTATTCTATACGAAATAAGAATTATATACCCCTAAAGAAGTTCCCAAACTCAATTTTTTAAAGAAATTAATTCACAAAGTACATCACTAACCTCGACTCTATCAGTGTACAGTAATAGCTTAGGATCTGTACTCATGTGAGAAAACTTAGTTGATTCTCCACAAAATTCACAGGGTGGGCTGTCAACCCAAACGAAAAAATCTACTTTGAACCACTGCAATAATTCCAAAATCATCATATCTTGGATAGATATATCCGGATCCTCTAAATTATCTACAACAATAAATATTGCTAGAATCGCTAAATTTATTAAGTGTCTAGAGTTAATAAATTTTGAGCAATATCTCTGGTTAGAAATTCTGGAGGTTCGGCAAAATTTATGGTGTGAGTATAGCGTGATCACCAGCGTCTTTGATTAAAGCTTGTAGTTATAAATAAAGAAATTTATATAAAAAAATTGTTTTGAAATAAAATTAGAAACAATTAATGAAAAAAATACTAGATAGAAAGTGGCATGTGGTTCTTGTCAAGTCATCAGAGTAAATTAATGCTATGTTCACCCGTAAAGTCTCTATTAAAATTAAAAAAAGATACTAACATGTAATTACTTGATATGAAGAGGCATGCAGCCCTTGCCACATAATTTAAAGAAATCTTATTTGAATAAGTCTCTCCTAAAACTGATTTTTATTGATTTTCTTTTTATTTTTATTGATTTTTTTTTATTTTTATTGATTTTTATTGCCTTTTTAATGATTTTTATTGATTTTTTTTATTTTTGTTGATTTTTATTAATTTTTATTCTTATTGCTTTTTTAATGATTTTTTATTGATTTGTATTGATTTTTATTGAATTTTTTTTTTATTTTTATTGATTTTTATTGATTTTTATTGATTTTTATTGATTTTTATTGATTTTTATTGATTTGTATTGATTTTTATTGAATTTTTTTTTTATTTTTATTGATTTTTATTGATTTTTATTGATTTTTATTAATTTTTTTATTTTTGTTGATTTTTATTGATTTTTATTAATATTTATTGATTTTTATTGATTTTCATTGATTTTCATTGATTTTCATTGATTTTCATTGATTTTCATTGATTTTCATTGATTTTCATTGATTTTCATTGATTTTCATTGATTTTCATTGATTTTCATTGATTTTCATTGATTTTCATTGATTTTCATTGATTTTCATTGATTTTCATTGATTTTCATTGATTTTCATTGATTTTCATTGATTTTCATTGATTTTTATTAATTTTTATTCTTATTGCTTTTTTAATGATTTTTTATTGATTTGTATTGATTTTTATTGAATTTTTTTTTATTTTTATTGATTTTTTTTTATTTTTATTGATTTTTATTGCCTTTTTAATGATTTTTATTGATTTTTTTATTTTTGTTGATTTTTATTATTTTTATTTTTGTTGATTTTTATTATTTTTATTCTTATTGCTTTTTTAATGATTTTTTATTGATTTGTATTGAATTTTTTTTTATTTTTATTGATTTTTATTGATTTTTAATGCCTTTTTAATGATTATTATTGATTTTTTTATTTTTGTTGATTTTTATTGATTTTCATTGATTTTCATTGATTTTCATTGATTTTGATTGATTTTCATTGATTTTCATTGATTTTCATTGATTTTCATTGATTTTCATTGATTTTCATTGATTTTTATTAATTTTTATTCTTATTGCTTTTTTAATGATTTTTTATTGATTTGTATTGATTTTTATTGAATTTTTTTTTATTTTTATTGATTTTTTTTTATTTTTATTGATTTTTATTGCCTTTTTAATGATTTTTATTGATTTTTTTATTTTTGTTGATTTTTATTCTTATTGCTTTTTTAATGATTTTTTATTGATTTGTATTGATTTTTATTGAATTTTTTTTTATTTTTATTGATTTTTATTGATTTTTATTGATTTTTAATGCCTTTTTAATGATTATTATTAATTTTTTTATTTTTGTTGATTTTTATTGATTTTTATTAATTTTTATTGATTTTTATTGATTTTCATTGATTTTTATTGATTTTTATTAATTTTTATTGATTTTTATTGCATTCTAATAATTTTTATTGCTTTTTTAATAATTTTTATTGCTTTTTTAATGATTTTTATTGATTTTTATTAATTTTTATTGATTTTTTTATTAATTTTTATTGATTTTTTTAATGATTTTATTGATTTTTTATTGATTTTTTTATGGATTTTTATTGATTTTTTATTGATTTTTATTGATTTTTATTGATTTTTATTGCTTTCTTATTGATGTTTATTGATTTTATTAATTTTTGTTTATTTTTATTGATTTTTATTGCTTTTCATTGCTTTTCATTGATTTTTTATTAATTTTTATTTATTTTTAATAATTTTTATTGCTTTTTTAATAATTTTTATTGCTTTTTAATGATTTTTATTGATTTTTTTATTTTATTCATCTTTGTTGATTTTTATTGATTTTTTATTGATTTTTTATTGATTTTTATTAATTTTTATTAATTTTTATTAATTTTTATTGATTTTTATTGATTTTTTATTGAATTTTATTGATTTTTTTATCGATTTTATTAATTTGTATTGTTTTTTTTTATTTTTATTGATTTTTATTGTTTTTTTTTATTACTTTTTATTGATTTTTATTGATTTTTTATTAATTTTTATTGATTTTTAATAATTTTTATTGCCTTTTTAATAATTTTTATTGCTTTTTTAATGATTTTTATTTCTTTCTTAATGATTTTTATTGATTTTATTAATTTTTGTTGATTTTTATTGATTTTTTTTATTGATTTTTGTTGATTTTTATTGCTTTTTTAATGATTTTTATTGCTTTTTTAATGGTTTTTATTGATTTTTTTATTGATTTTATTAATTTTTTTTATTTTTATTGATTTTTATTGCGTTTTATTGATTTTTTATTAATTTTTATTGATTTTTAATAATTTTTATTGCTTTTTTAATAATTTTTATTGTTTTTTTTTAATGATTTTTATTGCTTTTTTAATGATTTTAATTGATGTTTTTTATTGATTTTATTAATTTTTAATGATTTTTATTGCTTTTTTAATGAATTTTACTGCTTTTTTAATGATTTTTATTGATTTTAATTGATTTTTTATAATTTTTATTGATTTTACTGATTTTTATTGATATTTTTATCTACAATTTCATGTTTTTTTTTAATTTCATAATTTCGACTATTTATGCCGCCATCAAAATTTATTAAATTCAAAACAACTTTTTACTGTTTTTATCACAATCTGTCATCATTACGTTTAAAACAACGCCCACTTACTTTTTTTGATGTGCGTCTGAACAAGTCTCAACCTTTTTTGAGCGTTTTCTTCCAAAATAGATATAGGAATTAATTTTCTAGTTCGTTCTTTAAGTGTTTTATCTTCGTATTGCAAAACGCCATGAGAAAAAATTTCCAATGATCTTAAAAATACGTTCGAATGAGTCTGTAAAAAAACAATTTAAATCACAATGAAGGTAAAACTTTTATATCTTTAATTTAGTCAATGAATGTTTCGCAAGAAAATTTTTTTTCGTTAGGTGGTAAAAAAAATTAAAAGCCCCCAAACCTAGCTTCAAAAATTTCCTATTAGATTATTTTCTGATGGTATCAAACATATAAATATTATTTACAACTTACCGTCTGTAAAGGTGGTAATTTCAATTTTCTTATAACATCGTTTGTGTCTTGCTGGTTATTGTTTTTTGTTTGTGATGAACTAGGAACTTGAGAATGTGAAATTGAACCCTTTAATAAAAAAAATTAAATACAGTGTTTTGATATTGATGGGTTTAGAAAGCGTTTTCGAAAAGTTTAGTTTTGACCAGAAAGTTTACTTACAGTCAAGCACTGCATGGGGTTAAAGTACAATCAAAATTAATAAGGCACTGGAGGGAACACTTATGTATTTTTCATTTTTTTTTTTTTTTATTAATATTGTTATTATTATTAATAGTTAACTTATTTTTTTATATAAAGCTACATGTTACTTATTAAATTTTTGTGATATTTGGTCCAAAATATCTTTTTATATATGGTAATAAAGTGACTTACAGTGTCTAAAGTATATTTTTGTTGGACTCGTTGTTTCCATGACTTAGCGGACTCCATAAATTCCTCGAGATGTTTTATTGGAACATTAATATTCATTACAAAACTTGTGGGTTTCTAAAATAATCAGTTACTGAAATTAGGTGCATTTTCATGTATTATCATAATTTTTATTAGTAACAAAAGGTGTAAAGCTACATCAACAATTATTAAACTTGGTATTACAAATAAAGTCCTTTATTATTAATATTATCACAAAAATATGAAAATCGCATAAATAAATTTCGCCCACCCCATTTACTAGGGTGGGTGTCACCCACAAAAAAATGAAATTACAATTTTTTCAATAAAACAATTGGTATTTGCGATTTTTTTTGCATGCAAACTCAAAATTTCAATTTTTTGATAACTTTTTTTTAAGTTGATAAAAAAATTAATAAATTTCAAGATAACAAATTTTCAAAGAGGGAACCATTGGACACATTTCAGTGTTGATGAAAAATAAAAAAATATTTAAAAAAATTAAAGTTGAAAAAAAAATGTTAATGAAAAAAAGGTTGATAAAAAAATTAATAAATTTCAAGATAACAAAAAATGTTCAAAGGGGGAACCATTGGACACATTTCATTGTTGATGAAAAAAATCTCAAAAATTGAAAGTCGAAAAAATTCTCAAAAAATAAAAGTCAAAAAAATTCTCAAAAATTAAAAGTCGAAAAAATTCTCAAAAAATAAAAGTCAAAAAAATTCTCAAAAATTAAGTCGAAAAAATTCTCAAAAATTAAAAGTCGAAAAAATTCTCAAAAAATAAAAGTCAAAAAAATTCTCAAAAATTAAAAATCGAAAAAATTCTCAAAAATTAAAAGTCAAAAAAATTCTCAAAAATTAAAAGTCGAAAAAATTCTCAAAAAATAAAAGTCAAAAAAATTCTCAAAAATTAAAAGTCGAAAAAATTCTCAAAAAATAAAAGTCAAAAAAATTCTCAAAAATTAAAAGTCGAAAAAATTCTCAAAAATTAAAAGTCGAAAAAATTCTCAAAAAATAAAAGTCAAAAAAATTCTCAAAAATTAAAAGTCGAAAAAATTCTCAAAAATTAAAAGTCAAAAAAATTCTCAAAAATTAAAAGTCGAAAAAATTCTCAAAAATTAAAAGTCAAAAAAATTCTCAAAAATTAAAAGTCGAAAAAATTCTCAAAAATTAAAAGTCAAAAAAATTCTCAAAAATTAAAAGTCGAAAAAATTCTCAAAAAATAAAAGTCAAAAAAATTCTCAAAAATTAAGTCGAAAAAATTCTCAAAAATTAAGTCAAAAAAATTCTCAAAAATTAAAAATCGAAAAAATTCTCAAAAATTAAGTCAAAAAAATTCTCAAAAATTAAAAGTCGAAAAAATTCTCAAAAATTAAGTCAAAAAAATTCTCAAAAATTAAAAGTCAAAAAAATTCTCAAAAATTAAAAGTCAAAAAAATTCTCAAAAATTAAAAGTCGAAAAAATTCTCAAAAATTAAAAGCAAAAAAATTCTCAAAAATTAAAAGTCGAAAAAATTCTCAAAAATTAAGTCAAAAAAATTCTCAAAAATTAAAAGTCGAAAAAATTCTCAAAAATTAAAAGTCAAAAAAATTCTCAAAAATTAAAAGTCGAAAAAATTCTCAAATAATAAAAGTCAAAAAAATTCTCAAAAATTAAAAGTCGAAAAAATTCTCAAAAAATAAAAGTCAAAAAAATTCTCAAAAATTAAAAGTCGAAAAAATTCTCAAAAAATAAAAGTCAAAAAAATTCTCAAAAATTAAAAGTCGAAAAAATTCTCAAAAATTAAAAGTCAAAAAAATTCTCAAAAATTAAAAGTCGAAAAAATTCTCAAAAATTAAAAGTCAAAAAAATTCTCAAAAATTAAAAGTCGAAAAAATTCTCAAAAATTAAAAGTCAAAAAAATTCTCAAAAATTAAAAGTCGAAAAAATTCTCAAAAAATAAGTCAAAAAAAATCTCAAAAATTAAGTCGAAAAAATTCTCAAAAATTAAAAGTCGAAAAAATTCTCAAAAAATAAAAGTCAAAAAAATTCTCAAAAATTAAAAGTCGAAAAAATTCTCAAAAATTAAAAGTCGAAAAAATTCTCAAAAAATAAAAGTCAAAAAAATTCTCAAAAATTAAAAGTCGAAAAAATTCTCAAAAATTAAAAGTCAAAAAAATTCTCAAAAATTAAAAGTCGAAAAAATTCTCAAAAATTAAAAGTCAAAAAAAATTCTCAAAAATTAAAAGTCGAAAAAATTCTCAAAAATTAAAAGTCGAAAAAATTCTCAAAAATTAAGTCGAAAAAAATGTTTGATAAAAAAATTAATAAATTTCGAGATAACAAAAAATATTCAAAGGGGACCCTTCTACACATTTCAGTGTTGATGAAAAAATCTCAAAAATTAAAAGTCGAAAAAATTCTCAAAAAATAAAAGTCAAAAAAATTTTTAAAAAGTAAAAGTTGAAAAAATTCTCAAAAATTAAAAGTCAAAAAAATTCTCAAAAATTAAAAGTCGAAAAAATTCTCAAAAAATAAAAGTCAAAAAAATTCTCAAAAATAAAGTCGAAAAAAATTTGGTAAAAATATTTGATAAAATAATTAATAAATTTTGAGATAAGAAAAAATGTTTAAAGGGACCCTTCTACACATTTCAGTGTTGATGAAAAAATTTCAAAAATTAAGTCGAAAAAAATTCTCAAAAATTAAATTAAGTCGAAAAAATTCTCAAAAATTAAGTCGAAAAAAATTTGGTAAAAATGTTTGATAAAAAAATCAATAAATTTTGAGATAACAAAAAATGTTCAAAGGACACATTTCAGTGTTGATGATATATTTTTTAAGTCCAAAAATATTTGAAATTATGAATTTCTATGTAGAAAAAATCATAAATTTTAACTGAATAATTTAATTAACATAAATCAGCTCTATTGTAAATATGCTAAAAATTTGATTTTTATTTCATCTGAACTATTTTTAAATATATGAACTATACAAGGTTGGCAGGTACAGCTTTTTTTGCACCTAGGTTGTTTAGGTTTTTTAAAAAACTTTAAATTAAAATTTCCGCAATTTTAGTTTTTTTTTAAAATAAATTTTAAGGATTTATAATTTTATTAATCAACTCTCAGAAGAAAGGGTGTAAAAAATTAGTGTATAAGAATGAAAAGAGATGCAAATATTTTATCAAATGTTGTATCACTACTATAACTTCTTGATATTGATATTAAGGATGGTCAAAATTATATAAAAAAAATATTTATTATTCACTTTTTAGTTTCTTTGTTTACAGAATGTTTTTTTTTTAAATCAACTTTTATTTTAATTATTAATAATAACTTTTGACATATATGAACTAAAAAAACTTAACAAACCTAAATAATCTAAATAATTCTTAAATAAAAAAATATTTTTGGAAAAATTTTATCAAAAAAATTTGAAATTTTGGGCATGTATGTAGAAAAAATGGTACAAAAAGTTTTATATTAATTTTTTAGGGATGCCATCCTTACATCTTCCTCCAGGAACAAAATTTAACTTAATTTTTTAAAGATGACACCTTTTCCATTACATTGGGGGGGTGGGGTGTGCAAAATATTATCCAATTTTCATAGTTTTGGGATAATATATCTATATACAAAGTTTGGTCTCAATATCTTGACCCAAAGGGCTGAATTCATCTTCATATTTGTGATTTATCTAGTCACTAACTAAGAAAGTTTGATAATTATTTTTTTTATCATTAAATATCATCATTTATATAATTTAACAACTACAAAATAATTTGCTACGACAAATAAGAGCAAGTTTATTATTATAACCCTTGTTTTATTCACTATGTCTTATATCTGACATTTAATTCCATTTACTTGCCTTATAGACACTATATTGAAAATATTAGATCAGTAATGGACTTTTGTTTATGTTTTTCACTGAAAAAAACTGCAAAAAACAGTGTTCATATTTGAAAATTCTTATTTACTTAATCCTACCAATTACTACAACCTTTTAACTTAGATAGTTTGTAATTTATGATGAATAGAGTGAATAATTGTATGAGATTCAGTAGTAAACTTTTGTTTTAAGTTTTTATCTATTTTTCACTGAAAAAACTCCAAAAAAACAGTGTTCATATTTGAAAATTCTTATTTACTTAATCCTACCCATTACTACAACCTTTTAACTTAGATAGTTTGTAATTTATGATGAATAGAGTGAATAATTGTATGAAATTCAGTAGTAAACTTTTGTTTTAAGCTTTTATCTGTTTTTACTGGAAAAAAACTGAGAAAAACCAGTGTTCATATTTGAAAATTCTTATTTACTTAATCCTACCAATTACTACAACCTTTTAACTTAGATAGTTTGTAATTTATGATGAATAGAGTGAATAATTGTATGAAATTCAGTAGTAAACTTTTGTTTTAAGTTTTTATCTGTTTTTACTGGAAAAAAACTGAGAAAAACCAGTGTTCATATTTGAAAATTCTTATTTACTTAATCCTACCAATTACTACAACCTTTTAACTTAGATAGTTTGTAATTTATGATGAATAGAGTGAATAATTGTATGAGATTCAGTAGTAAACTTTTGTTTTAAGTTTTTATCTGTTTTTACTGGAAAAAACTGAGAAAAACCAGTGTTCCATATTTGAAAATTCTTATTTACTTAATCCTACCAATTACTACAACCTTTTAACTTAGATAGTTTGTAATTTATGATGAATAGAGTGAATAATTGTATGAGATTCAGTAGTAAACTTTTGTTTTAAGTTTTTATCTATTTTTCACTGAAAAAACTCCAAAAAAACAGTGTTCATATTTGAAAATTCTTATTTACTTAATCCTACCCATTACTACAACCTTTTAACTTAGATAGTTTGTAATTTATGATGAATAGAGTGAATAATTGTATGAGATTCAGTAGTAAACTTTTGTTTTAAGTTTTTATCTATTTTTCACTGAAAAAACTCCAAAAAAACAGTGTTCATATTTGAAAATTCTTATTTACTTAATCCTACCCATTACTACAACCTTTTAACTTAGATAGTTTGTAATTTATGATGAATAGAGTGAATAATTGTATGAGATTCAGTAGAACTTTTGTTTTAAGTTTTTATCTATTTTTCACTGAAAAAACTCCAAAAAAACAGTGTTCATATTTGAAAATTCTTATTTACTTAATCCTACCCATTACTACAACCTTTTAACTTAGATAGTTTGTAATTTATGATGAATAATAGAGTGAATAATTGTATAAAATTTGATTATAATTTAAGTACTTACTTCTTCAAAACCCATCAATATTAGACACTCTTTTCCTCCTTTTACTCCCAAAATTTTATTAGCAATGGTATCATTACTTTTTTTTAAAACGCGAATGTTGGATTTTAAAGGATTTTTTAAAATATTTTCTCCAATTTTACACAGCAGTCTTATTGCTTCCTCAAATACTCCTGTTGGATTTTGTTCTAACTTTGTAAATGCTTCTTGATATTGTAAATCCATAACTTATAATTGAATTAGATTAAAGTATGTTAAAAATCGCGATAAGAATTACTAGAATTAGTGAAAAATTCAAAATTTAAATATTTAAAAATGAAAAATCATCATAAAAACAAGTCACTTGTCTTAAGTCACATCATGTGAAATGTCATTATGTTGTGGAGTTCGAATAGGGAACTAGGAGTGGATTTAGAGCAGCAAGGGGATTTTTATCTGCGATAGAAAGATGTATCGAAAGATGAAAATACTAGCACAGGACTCAATTTTCATCACGTCACATTGGAGTTAAAAGAACACTTATGTCAATGACAATGGCAACGGTTTTTCTAACAAACAAACCGGTTGCCTGTCGGATTGATATGGCAACTCTGTAAGCCTGGTGGATTTGCTAGAATCAATGTGGTATACAGTTATATAGATTGATCATCCATATTTATCAAAATAAAGTCTCTAGATTAAATCCAACACGGCATAATAACCGGTTATTTACATCTGGCTCATACACACAAATTTGAAAAGCAGCAGTTTTGTCTACAAACCGTGATTATTGCAGTTTCATCGTTATCACCCGTTTTGAGCAATCTATATTACTATATACATCATTGACCCTTCTTAAATCCTACATTCCCTGCAGGGTTGCCATATCATCATGAAAAGCAAGAATGGTAAAAACATTAATATTTCAGTGTTTTCATTTGATAAAAATTCGAAAATATTCTACAGAACTATTAAAATTTGTCCCAAAATGTAGCGAAGTATCTGAAGCAGATGTTCAACTTCTAAGGAAGTTTATAGACGACTCTAGAAAAATTCTAGTACTTACAGGTGCTGGAATTTCAACAGAATCAGGTAAGTGTTATGTATTATTGTCTGAATTTGACAGAAATAAACGCTAAAAAGTATCAATTTTCTATAGTAAATTTCTAAAAGATAAATCGCTGATAGCTGAAGTATCTAGTGAGAAAAATTAATCAAAATTTGCAAGATTTTGATGTTCCTAACCTAACTTTTTACTATTTTCAATTTTTATAGCTTTACAAAGAGTTTACATTAGTGACAATGTTCTCAAAATGTTCACGCAAACCTGTGATAGCTTGTCTGAAAGTATTTAGTTTAAAAATCATTAATTTTATTGTAAAAAGTGGATTTTTATAAATTAATAAACAGAAACTATTTGTTACATTTTTATTGAATCTGTGAGACTCTTCTATTTCTATAAATCTATGTAAGAAGATGTACAATCATTAATAAACGTTCTACTTAAGTGTCCTGTGTAAAATTTACATGTATGTAGCTTCTATGCCTTTCAAAAATATTTTCAAGCGAAGCTGAAAATCTGGCCACCCTAGATGCAGGATCAGATGAAAATTAGTACAAATCCTCTATTTTTTCTAGGAATTCCTGATTATCGATCAGAAGAAGTCGGTTTATATGCAAGAACAAATCATAAACCAATTCAATATCAAGAGTTTCTTAAATATTCTCACATTAGACAACGATACTGGGCTAGAAATTTTGTTGGATGGGGAATTTTTTCGAAACGACAACCAAATGCTATTCATTTTTCTATAAGGAATTTAGAATGTGATTTAGGAAAGGTAAGAACTACTGATGATATAAATAGTACAAGAGTGATAATCATAAATAATAAATCATTAAAATACTAATAGGTAGACTTGTTCACCTTCTCTTGTATACCTGTGAATGAAAGAGAATTTTAAATATTTCGACTATCTATACATCTATCTTTTAATGGTAATGTCTTTTGGCCATTAATTAATGCCATTTTTTTTATCATACAGGGTGATTTTTAAAAATAAGAAAAAATAATTGGTTATATTATTTAAGACAGTTAATAAAGTGTGAAGATAATGCTAATTTCATCAATAAGAAGTTCCAGAAATATACAATTTCTAATTTCAGTGGCTTACTGTAATTACATAAAAAAAATATGCTAATACAATTTAAATATCTTCAAAGATTATTAATTTGTCATTATTAATCAATAATAATGCTTATTAATGATTATTAATCATTATTAATCTTTAATAATCATTATAAATCATTATTAATCCTTAATAATCGTTATTAATTATTATTATTATTATTATTATTAATCATTATTAATCGTTATTAATTATTGTTAATCATTACTTATTAATAATTATTATTTATCGTTATTAATCATTAATCGTTAACGATTATTATTAATCATTATTAATAGTTATTAATCATTGACAATTATTCTTAATCATTAACAATTATTATTAATCATTATTAATTAATATTGATCATTATTAATCAATCATTATTAATCGTTATTAATCATTAATAATCATTATTAATCATTATTGATCGTTATTAATCATTATTAATCGTTGACAATTATTCTTAACCGTTAATAATTATTATTATTAATTAATATTGATCACTATTAATCGTTATTAATCATTATTATTATTATTTATCATTATTAATTATTAGTAATCATTATCAATTGTTAACAATTATTATTAATAATTATTAATCGTTATTAATCAATCATTATTATTATTAATCGTTATTAATCATTATTAATCGTTGACAATTATTCTTAATTATTAACAATTATTATTAATCGTTATTAATCATTGTTAATTAATATTAATCATTATTAATCGTTAACAATTATTATTAATCATTATTAATAGTTATTAATTAATATTAGTCATTAGTAATCATTATCAATTGTTAACAATTATTATTAATCATTATTAATCATTATTATTCATTATTAATCATTATTAATCATTATTAATCATTATTAATCATAATTAATCATTATTAATCATTATTAATCATTATTAATCATTATTAATCATTATTAATCATTATTAATCATTATTAATCATTATTAATCATTATTAATCATTATTAATCATTATTAATCATTATTAATCATTATTAATCATTATTAATCATTATTAATCATTATTAATCATTATTAATCAATCATTATTAATCATTATTAATCATTATTAATCATTATTAATCATTATTAATCATTATTAATCATTATTAATCATTATTAATCATTATTAATCATTATTAATCATTATTAATCATTATTAATCATTATTAATCATTATTAATCATTATTAATCATTATTAATCATTATTAATCATTATTAATCATTATTAATCATTATTAATCATTATTAATCATTATTAATCATTATTAATCATTATTAATCATTATTAATCATTATTAATCATTATTAATCATTATTAATCATTATTAATCATTATTAATCATTATTAATCAATATTAATCATTATTAATCATTATTAATCATTATTAATCAATATTAATCATTATTAATCGTTATTAATCATTATTAATTAATATTAATCATTATTAATAGTTATTAATTAGTATTAGTCATTAATAATCATTATTAATACCTATTAATGATTAATAATTATTATTAATCGTTATTAATCATTATTCTACTTATATTTATATTTAAATTCTACCTACTGTCATTTTATTTCATTACACTTTTGTGTCATTTCAATTTAATTGTGAAAAAATTTGTGCTCAACATTTAAATGTACACTCAGAGTTTTTTTTTTAGGATTTTCTTTTGTTATATATATTATATATTGTATATGTTTTAAATTTATCTTTAAGTATACGTTTTTTAATAGGTTCTAAACATTTTCTGATTTCATCATTCTAATCTGACTATATTATATGTCAATGTGTAATGATCTCCATTCATAATATGTATAATTACTGTATACTTTGTGGACCTTCTGTACGTTTAATGTAAGAATTACTGGTCAATAAAATATCTATATCTATCTATCTATCTATCTATCTATCTATCTATCTATCTATCTATCTATCTATCTATCTATCTATCTATCTATGTATCTATCTATGTATCTATCTATATATCTATCTATCTATCTATCTATCTATCATCTATCTATCTATCTATCTATCTATCATCTATCTATCTATTAATCATTATTAATAGTTATTAATGATTAATAATCGTTATTCATCATTATTAATAATTATTAACCATTATTAATTATTATTAATCAATCAATCATTAAACTATTATTAATCTGTTAATTATTATTATTATTATTAATTATGTGACCCTTCTGTACTTTTAATGTATAAATTACTGGCCAATAAAATTATCTATCTATCTATCTATCTATCTATCTATTATTCATTATTGTTATTCATCATTATTAACCATTATTAATTATTAGTAATTATTATTAATCAATCATTATTAATCATTTTAATTATTATTATTAATTATTAATCATTCATATTATTAATCATTAATGATCATTATTAATTAATCAAACATTGAACAACTATTATTAATCTGTTAATTATTATTATTAACTATTACTAATATTAATAGTTATTAATTATTATTATTGTTTATTAATTAATCATTATAATTATTAATTTTATTAATCATTGTTAATAATTATCAATTGTTAATGGTTATTTATCAATTGTCAATAGTCAATTATCAAATATCAAATATTAATTATTATTTAATGAATTTTTAAATATCTAAAATATGAAAATATGCAAACCATAAAATATATTTCGTTCAACCATTAACTTTTTCAAGTCTATCTTTTAAAATAGATAGGTAATTGATTAATAATGATTAATATTGAATAATAATGATTAATAATAATTAATAATGATTAATAATGATTAATAATGATTAATAATGATTAATAATGATTAATAATGATTAATAATGATTAATAATGATTAATAATGATTAATAATGATTAATAATGATTAATAATGATTAATAATGATTAATAATGATTAATAATGATTAATAATGATTAATAATGAATAATAATGATTAATAATGATTAATAATGATTAATAATGATTAATAATGATTAATAATGATTAATAATGATTAATAATGATTAATAATGATTAATAATGATTAATAATGATTAATAATGATTAATAATGATTAATCATGATTAATAATGATTAATAATGATTAATAATGATTAATAATGATTAATAATGATTAATAATGATTAATAATGATTAATAATGATTAATAATGATTAATAATGATTAATAATGATTAATAATGATTAATAATGATTAATAATGATTAATAATGATTAATAATGATTAATAATGATTAATAATGATTAATAATGATTAATAATGATTAATAATGATTAATAATGATTAATAATGATTAATAATGATTAATAATGATTAATAATGATTAATAATGATTAATAATGATTAATAATGATTAATAATGATTAATAATGATTAATAATGATTAATAATGATTAATAATGCTTGATTAATAATGATTAATAATGATTAATAATGATTAATAATGATTAATAATGATTAATAATGATTAATAATGATTAATAATGATTAATAATGATTAATAATGATTAATAATGATTAATAATGATTAATAATGATTAATAATGATTAATAATGATTAATAATGATTAATAATGATTAATAATGATTAATAATGATTAATAATGATTAATAATGATTAATAATGATTAATAATGATTAATAATGATTAATAATGATTAATAATAATTAATAAGGATTAATAACGATTAATAATGATTAATAACGATTAATAAATAAAAACGATTAATTTTTTGTCTTTATTTATTAATTAAAGGTTTCGGCAGTTGTCACTCAAAATGTAGATAACCTTCATTTCAAAGCCGGTAGTCAAAATGTGATTGAATTACACGGTAGCGCGTACCGTGTAATTTGTTTGAAATGTAAGAGTATCTATAATAGGCATTACATTCAAGAGGAATTAAAAAAAACTAATCTACACATGTGCGAAGAATCTACGATGGTCAGACCGGACGGGGATGTAGATATACCACAGGTATTTTATTTATTATCTTCCCTTAGTGTTGTTTCATACTTTTGCTACGAATTGGTTGAATTTTTCCAATTATTTTATTATGAATCATATTGTTGATTTATAAATATTTTTAGGATGCTATTCAAGGATTCAAACCTCCAGTTTGTCCCTCCTGTAGTGGGATATTAAAGCCTGATATCATATTTTTCGGAGATAACGTTCCCAAAGAAAGAGTACAAGAAGTTAGAAATACAGTGACAAAAAGTGATTCATTATTAGTATTAGGTACTAGTTTATCAGTTTTTTCCAGTTATAGAATTATATTGCAAGCCGTGGAAGAGAAGAAGAATATTTGCGTTGTTAATATTGGACGTACAAGAGCTGATGATATAATTGATTTGAAAATTTCTGTTAGATGTGGAGATATTGTACCTAAAGTTTGTTGACATTTTAAATGAAATATATAAATAAATTGTTTTAATATGAATTTGTATTTATTTTATTGGCGTCTAAACACTTCAAATAGTGGTCATTCATTAGATGTCTACCACAGGTAAGTTATTTTATCACAATCGCCAACAAATGGCTAATGCACACTTCACTAGAACTTTAGTCGTTAGCGCTGGTACCAAATGAAGGACAGACAATATGCGCATAATTAATCCGTAAAATATTTTTACAATTCCACAAAATACTCTAGAAGAAAAATTATAAATGGACATTCGCGTTTATTTATAAACAACAATCTTTATTAATGTTAGAAACTCAATATATTACTTTTAAGCTTCTAAATTGGAAGAGGTTTATTTAATACCTGCCCTCATACGGGTCTACTATGTAATATTTCAGGAACATTCCAGAAATATTTTCTGGGTCGTTTCGTAATATTTATGCAACATTATAAATATTTTAATGTTACATTTGTGCGATATTTCCGAAATGTTTGAGATATACCGACATATTAACAAAAATAAGAAAGTTTGTAGAAATTTACTCTGCAAGAACTGTATAGGATGGAAGTTTTTGTGGTATCTTGAATTGCGTATAAATATAACGAGTTGGAACTAAATTAAACGTTTCTATTCTCAATAAATCAGGTACAATTTTTTGAACGACATATTTGGCACTTACCCCAAGTAGGTCAATAATTTCAGAGTGTCAGATAATAGTTCCTACCTGAAACAAAAGGTATTCAATTATATTCAATACAATAAAAAAGTTACAACTATTCAGTTAACATCTGCACGTCATTATGACGTCATTTAATGACTACATTAGGCGCGCGACGTAACATGACATGTAAATGACTTTCCAGAGACGTCAATCTGGAGATGTTGCTGAAACTTTAAGAAAACGTCGTCTCAAAGACATTTTTGAGTATTCTAATAATGACGTATCTAGGATGTCATAATTCTGACAAGATTGCTGAAAATATCGTTTTTAAGACGTCATTTTTTCAATATTGTAATAATGACGTCTCTGGGACGTCATAATTGTGACAAGATTGCTGAAAATATCGTTTTTAAGACGTCATTTTTTCAATATTGTAATAATGACGTCTCTGGGACGTCATAATTGTGACAAGATTGCTGAAAATATCGTTTTTAAGACGTCATTTTTTCAATATTGTAATAATGACGTCTCTGGGACGTCATAATTGTGACAAGATTGCTGAAAATATCGTTTTTAAGACGTCATTTTTTCAATATTGTAATAATGACGTCTCTGGGACGTCATAATTGTGACAAGATTGCTGAAAATATCGTTTTTAAGACGACATTTTTTCAATATTGTAATAATGACGTCTCTGGGACGTCATAATTGTGACAAGATTGCTGAAAATATCGTTTTTAAGACGACATTTTTTCAATATTGTAATAATGACGTCTCTGGGACGTCATAATTGTGACAAGATTGCTGAAAATATCGTTTTTAAGACGTCATTTTTTCAATATTGTAATAATGACGTCTCTGGGACGTCATAATTGTGACAAGATTGCTGAAAATATCGTTTTTAAGACGTCATTTTTTCAATATTGTAATAATGACGTCTCTGGGACGTCATAATTGTGACAAGATTGCTGAAAATATCGTTTTTAAGACGACATTTTTTCAATATTGTAATAATGACGTCTCTGGTACGTCATAATTGTGACAAGATTGCTGAAAATATCGTTTTTAAGACGTAATTTTTTCAATATTGTAATAATGACGTCTCTGGGACGTCATTTTTTGAATATTTTAATAATGACATCTTGGGACGTCATAATTTTGACAAGATTGCTGAAAATTTAAGAAAACATCGTCTCAAAGACGTTATTTTTGAGTATTCTAATAATGACGTATCTAGGATGTCATATTTCTGACAAGATTGTTGAAAATTTAAAAAAATGTCGTTTTTAAGACGTCATTTTTTGAATATTTTAATAATGACATCTTGGGACGTCATAATTTTGACAAGATTGCTGAAAATTTAAGAAAACATCGTCTCAAAGACGTTATTTTTGAGTATTCTAATAATGACGTATCTAGGATGTCATAATTCTGACAAGATTGCTGAAAATTTAAGAAAACATCGTCTCAAAATCGTCATTTTTGAGTATTCTAATAATGACGTCTCTGGGATGTCATAATTCTGACAAGATTGTTGAAAATTTAAGAAAAGGTTTTTAAGACGTCATTTTTTGAATATTTTAATAATGACATCTTGGGACGTCATAATTTTGACAAGATTGCTGAAAATTTAAGAAAACATCGTCTCAAAGACGTTATTTTTGAGTATTCTAATAATGACGTATCTAGGATGTCATAATTCTGACAAGATTGCTGAAAATTTAAGAAAACATCGTCTCAAAATCGTCATTTTTGAGTATTCTAATAATGACGTCTCTGGGATGTCATAATTCTGACAAGATCGTTGAAAATTTAAGAAAATGTTTTTAAGACGTCATTTTTTGAATATTTTAATAATGACATCTTGGGACGTCATAATTTTGACAAGATTGCTGAAAATTTAAGAAAATGTAGTTTTTAAGATGTCATTTTTTGAATATTTTAATAATGACATCTTGGGACGTCATAATTTTGACAAGATTGCTGAAAATTTAAGAAAACATCGTCTCAAAGACGTTATTTTTGAGTATTCTAACAACGATGTATCTAAGATGGCCGTCAAGTAAATGTGGTCAAAACAGTGACCGTAAAGTTAATGCAGCCAAAAAGTAACATTTTAGGGCCTAAAAAATAAAATAAACAAGAAAAAAAAAAACAGATTTAATTCAATTTGTCTCCATTCCGAAATTCGAACTCTCGCCTTCCGCATAAAAGGCAAGTGCGCTGACCTCACCAGCATCATATACTTTTATTTAAATTAACAATACTACTTTGTGCAACAAGAGTGGATATAAACAATCCACTCGAGTTGTACAGTATATTTTTTCTACGAAAATCTACAAATTTAAATTATTTTAGGTTATTAAGACAAAATAACATAATTTATGACTTTTACTAATTTACTTTTACTAATTTAACATTTTCTGTTTGCTCAATATATTTAGGAAATAGTTTAATACCATTAGATTATTATAAAAGCATCCCTACTCTGTTTAAAGTACAGTATATTTTTTTCTACGACCCACTAACGAAAATCATTACTTTGTTTAAAAATTACTAAACCACAAATTAGTTTATTTGATCAATAGTTTTAATTTTTTATAATTCAAGCACTACATACGTTTCGGAAAAACATTTTTACATCTTCTAATGCAGTCAATAGATTTATAGAAATATGTCAGATGAATACAAACAGTTTAAATTGTTATAAAATAATATATACTCCATTTTTCCGTCTCATATCGTGTGAAAACCGAAAAAATAAACGTAAAAACTTCTTATTAATATAAAATTCTATTACGGTCAGATAATCATTCCTATTTGAACAAATTAGTTTGTTCCTACATGCAGAAGAAACAATAAACAATGCGGTTATGCGCAGATGTCGTAAAATTCAGGGCTCGGGTCAGTTCAGGCGCCGCCGTCGATAAGGGCAGACGCGTCGCGACGTCAGTAGGGCAAATTTATTCAATATATAAATCAACCGCCGTGAAAATGTGGAAGCGATTCTGGTGAGTCGATAAAAGCTTGTTGAAGTCCGTAAGTGGTTCAATAAAACTTTTATTTTTCTAAATTAGTATATTTAGCTGTTTGTTTTTTTATTTTTATATTCTTGCACCTTATTTTTTTATCTTTTTGGTAGACTATTGTATATAAAAGAAACTCATGTGGTTTTTGATTTAATGATACAGCTCTCGTCACTGGTTTATTACCTTTTGTAATATTGTTTATTTATACCTTATTTAGCTGTGTTTCTCTTTAAATGAATTTGCTTAAGACAACCTCAAAATTCTTATAAAAAATAAATAAATATAAATGAGCACTAATAAAAAAATACAGCTAGAATAATGTATAAATAAAATTTTTATTAAACAATAACTAGTGCTGAAAGGTATATCATTAAATCAAAAAATACATGAGTTTCTTTTAAAAAACATGTCTATACATACAGTTGATACCTAAAATACCAAGAATGTACCAAAAAGTTAAATAATATCTAGTCAAACAAATCGTGGACTTACAAGCAAAAGGCACTAAGTCAAAATGTGTCAAAATTAATTTATATTTTGGCACATCATGTTAAAACGAACAATGCTTTGTATTCTTAAAGCATGTACATTTTCTTTGAAACAGTTGATGATCCCTAAATATTTTATAAAAAAATTAGAACTTCATTGAAACTTTAAAATGCTTTAAAACTCCTAAACCTATTTTTAATGTCTTTTGTTTGCAAGCCCACGAAATACGAGCATTTCTTCTAGTTTATTTCTTGTGATTGGTGTTTGGTGGTTTAACAAACAGGTCCATTTTTGTTAGATATATCTAAATATCTATCTAACCAAACCTTAGGTGTATTTCCCTATAAAAAAAAATACAGCTCTCTCACTTACACTCTCTATCAATTGACTATCGTTTCAACTAGGAAGAAGTGGTTTGCATCATTAAATTCCTCTTTAAATTCTCTACAAACTGGTTTTTTAAAAGTCACAGTTGAGTTATTAGTAAGGCTAAAAAATGGGATTTTCACTCTCGCTTCACTCTTACTCTTTCACTTACATTCTCTATAACTTGACTATCGTTTCAACTAAAAAGAAGTGGTTTGCATCATTAAATTCTTCTTTAAATTCTCTACAAACTGGTTTTTTAAAAGTCACAGTTGAGTTGTTCGTAAGGCTAGAAAATGGGATTTTCACTCTCGCTCCACTTTTTCACTTACATTCTCTATAACTTGGCTGTCGTTTCAACTAGAAAGAAGTAGTTTGCATCATTAAATTCCTCTTTAAATTATCTACAAACTGGTTTTTTAAAAGTCACAGTTGAGTTGTTCGTAAGGTACAAAATGGGATTTTCACTCTCACTCTCTCACTTACACTCTCTATAACTTGACTATCGTTTCAACTAGGAAGAAGTGGTTTGCATCATTAAATTCCTCTTTAAATTCTCTACAAACTGGTTTTTTAAAAGTCACAGTTGAGTTGTTCGTAAGGCTAGAAAATGGGATTTTCACTCTCACTTCACTCCACTCTCACTCCACTCTCACTCCACTCTCACTCCACTCTCACTCCACTCTCACTCCACTCTCACTCCACTCTCACTCCACTCTCACTCCACTCTCACTCCACTCTCACTCCACTCTCACTCCACTCTCACTCCACTCTCACTCCACTTTCACTCCACTTTCACTCCACTCTCACTCCACTCTCACTCCACTCTCACTTGCACTCTCTATAACTTGGCTATCGTTTCAATTAGGAAGAAGTGGTTTGCATCATTAAATTCCTCTTTAAATTCTCTACAAACTGGTTTTTTAAAAGTCACAGTTGAGTTATTAGTAAGGCTAAAAAATGGGATTTTCACTCTCGCTTCACTCTTACTCTTTCACTTACATTCTCTATAACTTGACTATCGTTTCAACTAAAAAGAAGTGGTTTGCATCATTAAATTCCTCTTTAAATTCTCTACAAACTGGTTTTTTAAAAGTCACAGTTGAGTTGTTCGTAAGGCTAGAAAATGGGATTTTCACTCTCGCTCCACTTTTTCACTTACATTCTCTATAACTTGGCTGTCGTTTCAACTAGAAAGAAGTAGTTTGCATCATTAAATTCCTCTTTAAATTATCTACAAACTGGTTTTTTAAAAGTCACAGTTGAGTTGTTCGTAAGGTACAAAATGGGATTTTCACTCTCACTCTCTCACTTACACTCTCTATAACTTGACTATCGTTTCAACTAGGAAGAAGTGGTTTGCATCATTAAATTCCTCTTTAAATTCTCTACAAACTGGTTTTTTAAAAGTCACAGTTGAGTTGTTCGTAAGGCTACAAAATGGGATTTTCACTCTCACTCCACTCTCACTCTCTCATTAACACTCTCTATAACTTGACTATCGTTTCAACTAGAAAGAAGTGGTTCGCATCATTAAATTCCTCTTTAAATTATCTACAAACTGGTTTTTTAAAAGTCACAGTTGAGTTGTTCGTAAGGCTAGAAAATGGGATTCTCACTCTACTCTCACTCCACTCTCACTCCACTCTCACTCCACTCTCACTCCACTCTCACTCCACTCTCACTCCACTCTCACTCCACTCTCACTCCACTCTCACTCCACTATCACTCCACTCTCACTCCACTCTCACTCCACTCTCACTCCACTCTCACTCCACTCTCACTATACTCTCACTCCACTCTCACTCCACTCTCACTCCACTCTCACTCCACTCTCACTCCACTCTCACTCCACTCTCGCTCCACTCTCACTTGCACTCTCTATAACTTGGCTATCGTTTCAATTAGGAAGAAGTGGTTTGCATCATTAAATTCCTCTTTAAATTCTCTACAAACTGGTTTTTTAAAAGTCACAGTTGAGTTGTTCGTAAGGCTAGAAAATGGGATTTTCACTCTCGCTCCACTTTTTCACTTACATTCTCTATAACTTGGCTGTCGTTTCAACTAGAAAGAAGTAGCATCATTAAATTCCTCTTTAAATTATCTACAAACTGGTTTTTTAAAAGTCACAGTTGAGTTGTTCGTAAGGCTAGAAAATGGGATTCTCACTCTACTCTCACTCCACTCTCACTCCACTCTCACTCCACTCTCACTCCACTCTCACTCCACTCTCACTCCACTCTCACTCCACTCTCACTCCACTCTCACTCCACTCTCACTCCACTCTCACTCCACTCTCACTCCACTCTCACTCCACTCTCACTCCACTCTCACTCCACTCTCACTCCACTCTCACTCCACTCTCACTCCACTCTCACTCCACTCTCACTTGCACTCTCTATAACTTGGCTATCGTTTCAATTAGGAAGAAGTGGTTTGCATCATTAAATTCCTCTTTAAATTCTCTACAAACTGGTTTTTTAAAAGTCACAGTTGAGTTGTTCGTAAGGCTAGAAAATGGGATTTTCACTCTCGCTCCACTTTTTCACTTACATTCTCTATAACTTGACTATCGTTTCAACTAGAAAGAAGTGGTTTGCATCATTAAATTCCTCTTTAAATTATCTACAAACTGGTTTTTTAAAAGTCACAGTTGAGTTGTTCGTAAGGCTAGAAAATGGGATTCTCACTCTACTCTCACTCCACTCCACTCTTACTCCACTCTCACTCCACTCTCACTCCACTCTCACTCCACCCTCACTCCACTTTCACTCCACTCTCACTCCACTCTCACTCCACTCTCACTCCACTCTCACTCCACTCTCACTCCACTCTCACTCCACTCTCACTCCACTCTCGCTCCACTCTCGCTCCACTCTCACTTGCACTCTCTATAACTTGGCTATCGTTTCAATTAGGAAGAAGTGGTTTGCATCATTAAATTCCTCTTTAAATTATCTACAAACTGGTTTTTTAAAAGTCACAGTTGAGTTGTTCGTAAGGTACAAAATGGGATTTTCACTCTCACTCTCTCACTTACACTCTCTATAACTTGACTATCGTTTCAACTAGGAAGAGGTGGTTTGCATCATTAAATTCCTCTTTAAATTCTCTACAAACTGGTTTTTTAAATGTCACAGTCCGTCTAATCCCTATTACCGGGGAATCTAAACTCAGCGTATAGCGTCAAATTTTTCGATATTCTCAAACAATAGCTGGCTTATTTAAAAAACAACTATTTTACCTAACCTGTGCAGCTTGGGTCATAGCAACTTATGGCTACAAAACTATTTTATAATATTTCTACTGGGTGTGACAATGTGGCATGTCAGCACAGTACCGCCTACCAGTGATTGCGGTAAATCACGAAAAATAAGGAAATTAAAACTATTATGCATCAAAATAAGCTAATCAGGAAAAAATAATATAATAAGTTTATAAAAATTATTAACTGATTTAGACCTAATAAATTATATACAAAAAAAATAACTTTGTACAGCAGTGTAAAATATATAAATATTTTGTTTCCTAAAAAAATTGTGAGGAAATGTAAAATATATATATATATATATATATATATATATATATATATATATATATATATATATATATATATATATATAAACAAATGTCTTGTTCTTTAAAAAAAAATACTCAAATAGTCTGGGAAATGAACTTGGTTTGAGACGGTCAATCGAAACTTTGACATTACTGTTATTAAACTTGACTGTATATATTCTAGTTCCTCGAGCTACCACTGGATATGGTCCATCGTACGACTGTTATAGACTGCTTGGGTTAAAGTATCTAAAAAGGTACAAAAAAAAGAGGAGGATGTTCGTTTACACCCATTTTTAGTTGTATTAATCAGCAATGGCAGATCACGATCCATTCGATGACGAGGTGAGTTTTGTATTAGTTTTTGCCATTGTTCTCCGTAATTTCAATGTAAAGATGGCGCTTCTGTACCATAGAGACGCCGACTATTTTATTATTGAACGTTATCATTTGTTCTAGCAGCTGGTCTCCAGCAACACAAATCAGAGAAACTGGCGAGGAATCCTCATAGCACTATTGGTTATTGTCGTTGTTCTGGCGCTAATAGTTACCTCCGTCGTCCTTCTAACTCCTCCTGATGATGGACCAAGATTAAAAGGAAATAGATTCCAATTGCATGATATTTTAAGCCATGATTTCCAGCCCTTACGGTTTAATGGGACTTGGATATCCGGTGAGTTGTTTTCAATTGATACTACGTACTGCTAGTATCACTAAATATATTTGTTACTATTTTTGTCCGAGAAAATGTTTTAAATTCCAACATGGCAGTGTGGCTTGTTCATGCAAGCCGTTTAGTTTTGTAGGTGAGAAAAGTTCTACTATTTTGTTAAAAGTTGTTTTTTACTTTTTAGACGATGAACTGATCTTCAAAGACCAATGGGGCGGAATCAGCATATTCAATGCCTTCAATGTTAGCGTTAGAACGATAATGTCCAATCAAACCTATGTAAGTAATTATATAATAATATATGAAAAGCCTTGAATAAAGAATATTTGTTTTTCTTCTAGCTGCGTCTGAATCCATCGAGATTTCAATTATCTCCCGACCAGAAGTACTTGTTGTTGGCATTGAATATTAAAAAACTCTTCAGGCATTCCTATTTGGCACAATACAGCATCTACGACATTCAAACAGGGTAAGTGGATATAACCGAAGCTAAAAAGTGTTATTTTTGTACCTATTATTATCTTTTCTCTTTTAGAAATGAATTTCCATTAAGACCGCTTCCAGAAGACGAGGATCATCCGTTTTTATTGCTGGCTCAATGGGCGCCAAAAGGTCATGCTTTGGTTATGGTGCAGGATTACAATATTTTTTATAGAAAAACTCCAACATCGCACGCTGGATATAAAGTTACATATTCAGCGGTTCCTGGAGTTGTTAGTCATGGCGTCCCTGATTGGCTGTATGAAGGTAAGTAATCTTCGAAAACAAATCCGTTAAAATCTCTTACCATGAAATTTCTGGTAAAGACGAATTTTCTTTAACATTTTTTAAATATTTTCTCTTCTTCCTCGGATTTTATTTTAATTAAAATCTATTTTTTGTTTTCAGAAGAGATTCTTGGTACTAACTCTGCAATCTGGATGTCAAGAGACGGTATGCTGATGGTTTTCGCCACATTCAACGACAGCCTTGTAGAAGAGTTACGATTTCCTTGGTATGGTTCAATAAAAGACGGTAGATTGTATCCCGATATTAGATCCCTGAGGTATCCAAAACCTGGTACTAAGAATCCTGAAGTCACTCTTACAGTAGCTGACCTCGCCGATACATCCAATATTAAAATAAAGCCGGTTATACCTCCGAATGTAATCGCACGTCGGTGAGTAAATAATCATTGAAAATTCTTTAATTTAAAGCACATGTTTATATGATAATTTTGTTATAAAATAAACTAATTGATATCCAGAGTCTCCCAGATAGCACACGGCGTTTGAAAGACGTTTGTTCTCGATTTTCTAGGATGTTATTGAGATATAAGAGCCATAATTTAGACGTATTAATGTGAGAGCTCTTAAGATGGCTTACGTTTTCTAGTCGGACGGAAAACTACACGGTTAAGTTTTTGTAGCTCTTAAAACTGCTAGTCCGACGGAAGACTGCACGGTGACGTCACTCGTCAGCGAGGAAATCGAGGCCTGCCACGATTCCCTCGCTGGAGATGGATTTCACCGTCCAGTCGATTAAAATAGTCATACACAGACATAGACTATATCAATGACGCACATACAAAGTTTTTCCCAGGGAAAAAATTCACAACTAAATTCCCACAAAAACTAACATAAAATTCAATTTATTTTGGGCTAGAACGTCGAGCTCAGACAGCCGGGCACTCGAAGATGTTTCTACTCGAGTTTCGCGAGTGTGAATTATTTTTTTGATTGTTTATGTCTTGTCCAATGACCATGTTAAATTAAAAGGGCTCAAGACCAGTTTTTTCTGTAATTCACATAAAATAAAGCGGACAATAGTCCTAAATGTTATTTCTTTTCAGCGATCATTACTTCACAGCTGTATCCTGGATTAGCTCAACAGAAATCAGCGTTGTCTGGTTGAATAGACCACAAAATTTATCTGTGATAACAATATGTTCAAGTCCCAAATGGGACTGCAAAGAGGTATGTATACACTAAATTTAAATGGGAAAAAAAGGGGAGTGGGTGGAAATTACATGTAGATTAATTTTGACAAGAAACATCATGCGCAGTGGTAATATCAAAAGGATCTAAGTCTATATCTCCGTTGTTACTGATCCGATTCAAACGGGAAAAACGGCGTTATGAAAGATTATTGGATCAAATCAAAGGGAGACGTAACATAGATTTAACGGTAAAGAGAAAATCATGCGCAGCCGTATTGTCAAAAGGGTTTTAAGTGTATATCTCCGCTATTATTGGCCCGATTTAAGCGGTTTGAAGTTTCAACGTACAGTGGCCGATACTGCAAAGTCCGGTGCATGCGCAATTGTTCGTAGAAAGATATTTAGAATGTCTTAACAAATTTAATAACGATTTTAGAGTCAGCGAATTGGAACCGATGGAAATGGTTGGGTTGATATGGGCGACAGTCCCGTTTTTGGAACTGACAGTTCAAATTACATTACTATAGCGCCCGTCAGGGACGGACCAGCGGGAAATTTTAGACACGCAGTTGCGGTAAATATCCCTAAGCGGCGCGTCATCCCGTTAACGCACGGACGATACGAAATTACTAGGATATTAAAATGGGATCATTCGAATGATGTCATGTACGTATAATTAAAATTAGTTTTTTCAACAAAAATTGGTTGCTGTTAAATATATAAAAATACTTTGGGGCTCAAAAATAAATAATTTGAAAATTAAATTTTGGCGCAATGGTGGCACAATATTACTTTGGCTGTATTTTAGATATTTTCTTGGCATACCAGAAAACAAACCCGGTCAACTGCACCTCTACAGGGTAGCGTCTGTACCTCCAAGAACTGGCGCATCTTTACCACCACCAGTTTGTCTAACTTGCGTAAAAGAACCCACATCATCTCAACCCTCTTTCATAGCCCTCGACGAAAATATCTATAGGGTAAAGACCAATAACTGGGATGAAGATGATGATGATATCATCATAACCACTCCGGCAACGAGGAGAAAAAAGAATAAACAAAAATTGTTCGTTAAGAAACCGCCATGTCTCTACCACAATGCCTTTTTTAGTCAAAAAGCTTCTTATTACGTATTAGAATGTTTAGGGCCTGGAATTCCAACAACGTCTTTATATAAAACCGGCATGCCTAGGCCTAAATTGATTTTGTGGATGCAAAATAATACGGAATTAAGGAAAAGGGTTGAAGAAATGGCTATGCCGCAAATTAAGACTTTTCCTGTTCAGATTTCTGGAGGGTGAGTAAACTACTTTTTTTAATTTCGATAGAAAAACAAATATATTTAGTAAATTTCTTGTCTTCCACTATCCAATAGAAATAAGTCTTCTGACTCGTTAGGAAATGAACTTTGGGTTATTGGGTTTGCAGCAAGTTTATTCCAGGCTTTAGAATGTGAATATATTCATTTTCAGGGATCTAGAATATTCATCAGTCTTCCGTCGGACTAAATTATATATATATATATATATACGATGTCTTGTGGCGTCTCCACTGTATACGTCCATTTTTCAGCCTTCTTTAGCATTATTTTCTCATGTTTTATAGTTTATTATCTGAATATAAAAGATTTAACATTTTTCATATATTAAAATTTTAAACCTTTTTTAATAGTAAAAAAATCTTACTTTTCCCCAATAACATAAAAAAATAAACTATTTAAAATTGATATCAATAGTGTAATCATCATAAATTTGTTGTCAGATTAGTAATATCTTGTGTGAAAACTACTAAAAAATTGGAATTATCTCTAATTAGTTGCTTTGGTATTGCACTATATGTAATAAATATAAAAAATATATAATGTGTCCAACACATAACTTTTCTTTCTAGTTATTACATGCTTTATCCTTAGCGTATGAACTAAATATACCGGGTGTTCAAATTAAAGTGTTACAGTTAAATACCGCAGAAAATATGCATTTTAGAAAAAAAAGTTTCAGACAAAAGTTTTATAGTTTTTTGGGGGAAACATTTTGGCAAAATTCGTTTTTTTATAGCTGACCATAATATGGCCATATCGAGGTGGACTTTGTTTTTTCAAATGGGAATCCCATTTTTTTACATATTCTTAAAGTACATAAAAAAATAAGAAACTTTTGATGGAAATATTTTTTTTATTCGACTTTTTTTGCTGGACGAAAAAAAAGTTGGCCATATTATGGTTAGCTATAAAAAACTATTTTAGCCAAAATTTTTTCCCCACAAAACTATAATACTTTCGTCTGAAACGTTTTTTTTTTTATAATAGGAGGTGTTTAGCTGTAACACTTTAATTTGAACACCCGGTATATATTAAATAAAACAAAATTTTAGTTATCAAGCTCACGTACGGCTTCATCTTCCTCCTGGCCTTCGAGAAGATGAAATCACCAGATACCCGCTGATTGTACAAGTTTATGGCGGACCTGGAAGTCAATTGGTTACGGAAAGATGGAGGATAGATTGGAACACTTTTCTGTCAGGCAATAAAGATTTTATTATAGCGCAAATTGATGGAAGAGGATCTGGAGGTCAGGGACAACAACTTTTGCACAAAGTCTATTACAAGCTGGGTTCGGTGGAAGTTGATGATCAGCTAGAAGTAACTGAGTGAGTAGAAACAATAAATACATTATATCAAATGTGGGGTATAGTAAGAGAAGTACAAGAAGTTTGGAGTATTTTTGTAAAGTTGTTTAACAGTATAGTTGACCTAAAAAAATTATATTTACCAAATTAAAACTTCCTTCCATCACCCTTTACATTTAACTTCTTTTGCTTATTTCTTATAAGTCTCTAGGGGCTCCTTAAAAGTTCACCAATCTTAATGTCATATTACCGTACCACAATATTTTTACAAATATTTTTTAATTAGCCGTTAGTTTTTTGTTTAATTATATTGTATGATTTAAGTATTTTTAATCTTATAGATATCTAAGAGATACCCAACACTTTATTGACAAACGACGTGTCGCTGTGTGGGGTTGGAGTTATGGAGGATTTGTTGCCGCTTTAGCACTAGCTAGTCCGAAGAATGTTTTTCATTGTGCAATTGCTGTTTCACCTGTAACTAACTGGAAACTATATGGTGAGACATTAATTCTAAGGAAAAAATTATCTTAGATCATATATAATCGTGTCGTTTCAGATTCCGCGTATACGGAAAGATTTATGGGCCTTCCGAATGTGACGGATAATTATAAAGGTTACGAGGAAGCGGACGTGAGTAACAAAGCTCATAAACTCAAGGATAAAATGTTTTATCTAATACACGGATCTGCTGATGATAACGTCCATTTGCAGCAGTCTATGTCTCTGATGAAGGCTCTGTCTGAAGCAGGAACACTGTTTCGGCAACAAGTATGTAACACTTTATTTTGTATGGACGCAGAAATAATAGCAAAATATATATATATATATATATATATGGTTATTTTTCAAATTTTTTTTAGATTTACCCCGATGAAAGTCACAATTTGGGAGGCGTGAAAAAACATTTATACGAAAGCATGGGTAACTTCTTAGACGACTGTTTCCAGAAACAAGTTCCGCCTGAATTTAAAGCAGGATTAAGAAATTACATCGAATAGTATTCGGAGGAAGATTCGCAAGAATCTTCCAATAAATAAAAATGAAGAAAAACCGAATTTAGAGTACAATAATTCAACCAAACTATCCCTTATTTTGGGATGGAATTGTAAAACCTGGAAACAATCTACGACGCAAGTATAAAACTATGCTTTGAAGCATTCAAAATGTTGGATGTCAGTGATTAAAGTGCCAAATTTTAAATACAATTTATGTCCTAAATGTTATCGGCGATTTAAACGATATTGTTAACAAGGTTAACTTAAAACGGTTTTAAAAACTCAGGAAAATATTCCTTACCAATGACTCATTCAATGAAAAAGACCAAGCTAATATACTAATTTGCGTTTTCATTTTTAAAGAGTTTGTTGCTTTGGATTGATCAAATTTGGTAGATTTTCACGAAATTTTATTTAAAAAAAAAATATAACATAAAAATCCTTCATCACATTTGTGAATTTCACTTCATTTTCATTTATTTCGATGGTCACGGTTTAGTCTTCCGTCCGACCAGAAAATATAGGGGCCCAGCATTCGACTCATCGTTCAGTTTTCCGTCCGACTCATCGTTCAGTCTTCCGTCGGACTAAATTACGTAAATATCCAGCTCGTCTTGTTTAAAATATGTGGCGCTGTCCTATTACTGTCATAAATTAAATTGTTTGTGAAAATCTACCAAGTAAAAGCCAAAAACAAGAATTAAAAACATAAAAAATTCCTTAAATTCTGTAAATACTTTCTGAAATATCAAATACACATTATAGACTAGATATCAAGCTTTTATCGAAGAATAATTTTTAAAAATTATAATTCTAATGATAAATTTGTTTTTTTGAAGACAGATATTTTAAAATTAAATATTTCTATTAATAATTTAAGAGTGGATTTAACAAGTTGAAAATATGTATATACAAAAATAATACGTAGGTCTCTCAAATCAAACTATATAGGGGACTAAATTATAAGTAGAATTTTATTCTGAATAATTGGAACGAATTTTTTTTCTATGTTCCTCTATCTAGAGATATGTTTGATATACGATTTCTCCCTATTCAAGTACCTTTGTGCCTTGACTGCAGTTCTGATTCCCTTAGACCACGTAGAGTGTCATTTTTGTACAGTTTATGCTTTACCATCTTTACCTCATAATCTAGAAGTAATTTTTCAATTTTTATTATTTTGAGCCACTTACTCGAGAAGAAAAGTTTTGCTACTTTATAAACACTTTCATTTAGGAGGTTGCTTGGAGAATTCTATGAATAAATCTCACAATTTGGTGCTATTATATCATTCCTATTCTTTTTACTACTTTACATCCTCTTACCAATCAAACTTAGCTTCTATTACTTTTTATTCGTACTGTACTTGTCTATGTTCGTTCCAGTTTAGATTTTTCCCTACTATTTTGTTCCCAGATCATTCCTTACAACTCCCACAAGTAATTAGGGAAGATCACTATAGTATTGTAGTCGATTTTCTGACTCCAATCAATTTTTAATTCCCACTACTACGTTTGAAATGTACCTCCGCAGAACGAGTAGATTTTAATGGTGCAAACTGAGTTTTGATTGATTAAAAGTATGGTATCGAATGAAAGAAGTAAAAGGAGGTACTTTTCGAACGTAGCGTTTTCAATTAATTTGTTGCAATTTAAAATGTAAGCAGGCGCGGTTCGTAGTCTAGTCTGTGAGGAGGCTACTTTTGAATATATGTCCAATTTATATTTATACAAGGTTTGTCAAAAAATATGATTTTTGCCTTTTTATGAAGATAACTTTTTTCTAATATTAATAATAAAAAGATTTTTTCATATACCGCCAATTTACGTAGATATATATTAAATTTTATTAGTCAAAAATAAAGGTACTTTACTCTTCGGTAAAATTTTTGACATACCCCGTATACGGATTTAAAAAAAATAATATCTGATGGTTGCATTTTAAGTTTTAGACCATGCAAAAATTTTTATCAAGAATAAATTTTTTTCACAAAACCAATAATAAAAAAGTTTTGGGCGCAGAAATAATAGCATAATGTATATATGTATATATATTTCTATGTAATATTTGAAATATATATTTGTATTAGGTGCTAGGTGACGAGCCGCCTCTGAACGTAAGTATTATAGGTAATAATGTTCACAAAATCAATAAAAATAATATTTTTGGCATTATTAAAGTGAGATGTATATATAAATAGTCAAGTAGTTCAAAGACCAAATTATCATAGTAATAGAAAGATAATTCTTACAAAATTTTAGTGAGAGTATTTAATAAAATTCAACTTAAAGCAAGGTGAATAAATAATAATTAATTAATAAGTAATTTTTAGTAGTTATACAATTATAAAATAGTAGATCCAAATTCTGAATAATATATAAAAAAAAGCTATTACCTAACGTCATTTCAAATAGTAATAATTATTTATAGGAATCTGATTTAGAAACTTTTAAATATTATTTATATTTTTATCAAAAGTTTGACTCAATAAACTTTCGAATAAAATTGTTGATAATTTTTATTTCTCCTAACACCAGCTGGATGACGAATGGATTTAATTTTTTAGGATATTTGTTTTCGGAAGTCATTTAATAAGCAATATAGATTTGTTCCAACATAAACCGAATTCTACGCAGTTCTAAGTGTATTCTAACTTTCTTCTTTTCCATATCGATAAAAAGGGATACAAATATACGCATTGCGTACTGCCAGTGTCAATAGAAAACGTCAATAATGTTCCAACTCAACCAAAACTAATCACAAACCGTTTTGTGTAGTCTCAAATCAGTTCCCGAGTCTGGCACATGATAAGTTATGATATGGCAACACTGTGAGCATGATAATTTGACAGCGTCAATGATATAGATAGTTATATAGATTGATCATCTATATTTTTTATTATGACGGCAGGATATTGTAGCGTTCTAGTAGTTCCTGTCAAATTAAGATTTCCATGGGAAATATATTTCATTTTTGACGTGTAGGTAATCATAATGTCTAATAATTGAAGAAAACTATATAAAAAAAAACTAAATGTTGTAAATGAATCAGGTAAAACTTGAAATTAATTTTATATTCATACACAGATACGTACTATCTTTTTTTTAATTTTAGTGGGAAATAATACTAATCTAGGAATGAATTATGCTTCTTCCATATCCAAGAATCATTTGAAGAAGTATTGCAGTAATTTTGTAGATAATCAGTCATCGGGGTGCGATGACAGTCTTTTGAGTTTGGATTTTTGTTCTAAAGTATTAGGAAAGCCTTGCTTTAATTACAAAAACACTGCAAAAAAAAGCGATAAACGATTTTTAGTGGATATAAAAAAAGAAGGTGAGTGAGTGTTTTTAATGTGATTATTTCGAAGGTCTGTAAATTCTATAGCGTCGACTCAAGAAAATGTAAAACATGACTTTGCATAACAAAAATTAACTAATTAATATTTCTTTCATTCTCTTTTACAATCTGGAAGTCATATCAACAGAAATAAAATTTCTGCTAATACGGCATCCATCAAATCCTATAGAGAAGCATGCAAATAAATTCACAAGGTCGTGTTTCCCTGAAAAAGCGCTAGAAAAAACTAGGTTGTCCTTGTGTTTGTTAATGTGTACTTGCGTGAATTTCATTTCATTTAGTTCAATGGTCACGGTTTAGTCTTCCGTCCGATCAGAAAATAAAGGGGCCCAGCATCCGACTCATCGTTCAGTCCGCCGTCCGACCATTTAATCTTCCGTCGGACTAAATCATATAAAGATAAAAGGAGTATTGGGCAAATACCGCAAAAAAATGAAAAAAGCCTAAAGCCAAATCGCATACACGTGTTTATTGGTATTCATCAGTACGATGTAGCCAAGTTCAAAAGAGAAAGGAACTAGCGATGAAATTAAATCAAAAGGAGATCACTCAAGGAGCCAACCAACAACCGGAAACAGATGATTCTCCAGAATTGCACATAGATGAACAAGATTCTGACACCGACACAATTAAAAATACTTCAACTTTTGAGCAAAAAAAAGTATGGAGAAAATTCAGAAATCCCAAAATTTGAATCCGCTTATAAAACCTTAGAAATGCCAAGTCACGTAACGGTCAGAATACTCAACTTTAGACAAAATGAGGTCTCATCAGAGGAAGAATCACCAAGCACCAGCGATGCACCCCCACACCAGAATATCATACAAACGTCGGCAGATATCTACACCCAAGCACCATCATTACTCCTTCAGAGGAACCAACACATTTTTCCAAGATCCCCAGTCCCAAAAAGGAAAAGGACAAATGAAATACAACCCCAAAAACTGGACGAAATTCAGACCATAGTAATGGATACGGACTCAAATACTGGGGAATTCCAAACCCCAAAAAAATTCCCCACAAACTTTGTTAAGATTCTCAGACAAAAGGCGGTGAGATCACTAACCACCAAAAAAGTCCTAACAGAATCGGAATCTGAGAACGATGAAGAACCCAAGGTCCCCCTGTGGAAAAGGGAGGGGATAGCAAAAAATAGTCAGAAAAATGTGTTTACGGTTTGCCTTTAGGCCTTTTTTTATTTTCTACGGTATCTGCCCAATAATTCTTTTATCTTGTATATTTTTTACCGTACTAAATCTTCTTCTCTTGATAAGTTTCCCTGGGCTTGGATACATCATCATGGCGGCTACAACTGCCTTCGTGGCGACGCTAATATTTTCCTAGTAAACAATGGGAATGTTAGCCGAGTCCACAAACGTGTGGTTGGCTCCTTGAGTGATCTCCTGTTTTGATTTCATTGCTAGTTCAATTCTCTTTTGAACTTGGCTACACCGAACTGATGCAGACCAATAGGCAGAAACACGTGTCTACGGTTTGCCTTTAGGCATTTTTTGCCCAATAATCCTTTTATCTTGTATACATATGTATATATCCCTCTATCAATACTGCGTCATTCAAAGTTCCATCGTTACTACGTCTCTTAAAATTATATATATTCACTTGATATATAATAACACTACATTTTCTTTATAGTGACAGTATATACCTTAATAGAAGAAACTGCAAACCCATTTGTTACAGACCGAGAATCTAAAGATTCCACAGCATCGAAAACAGCTACGAAACCAATTGCTGAAGGAAGTGCTAATTATTGTGAGAAGCCATCTATGTCTACTCAATTTGATGAAGCTTCTGTCAGTCCGGGATTTAAACAGGCATCCATGAATACAGTTTTAATGGACAAGGATAGAACAGAAATTAAAGATTCAGAAGATAATATTGAATTTGCTAAGTTGCAATCAATAGGCGATACCCGCGAAATAAAGACAAAGTTAAATAACGTAAAAGCTGAAGAAATATTATCGGAAATAAATAATAAAAGAGGTTCTAAAGAATCTACAACTAAAGAAAGAAATACTCAAACTGCAGGAAGAAGACATAGAACTGAAGAGAATCAGAATATTCATACAGGTAAAATTAGAATGCAGGTTGAAATAAATTAAAAAATTACCAGTTTATATGTTCTGTTTAGAGCCAATAAACTATTTAAAAATATTCTATCTTTTTATATTTTTATTGCAAGGTTATCATCAACCTAGACCACTCTACTATCGCAACGAAGAGTCACAAACAACTCATCCCTCTATATTAACAGAATTAGATTCCCAAAGCAAGGATTGGTATCCTGTTAAAGATGTTCCTCTAGGATTGGCAGATAAAGCTGTGCAGTCTTCAGAATTCAAGTCGTATCCTGTTAAAGATACATCTCTAGGATCAGCAGAGAAAGCCGTGCAGTCTTCAGACGATGGCAAGAACAAACGTCGTAATGATGTCATCACCAGAGGCAATAATACAGTAAACACTGACTCTTTTAACGTTCAAGTTACTGAACTTGTTTCGAGCAAAATGCAAACCTCAAATACTGAATCGATGGATGCTGAAATATGCTGCGCACCATTTAAAGATGCGTGGAAATATAATCAGTAAGAAAAATTTTCTTTTAAACATATCTGTGAATGAATAAACTTTTTTAATAATATTTTTAGTCTTAGTCCACGAAAATTACCTTCAAAGTATATTGAAAATGTTTACCCTAAATCAGAAAAATACAAACAAGAAGATGTGTACGAAGAAACAGTAAGAGAACCATGTTGTTGCTGCTGCTACTGCTGCTGTCAATCAGTACGTAATAACAGACATTGTTCATGTGAAGATTGTTACGAAGAACCTCAATATCATGGAGAATCGAATCATAGATGTAAAATATCTTCATGCGTTACACAATGTAGGTAAGTAAATATATATATATATATATATATATATATATATATATATATATATATATATATATATAGAATTCTATTTTTTTTCTTTTTATTGTTATGCTATTTCAGAAAATGCTTCTGCGCAGATAACCGTCCACAAAAACCACCAGCTGTTCCAACATACGACGCATCAACATCTTCCGATTACGACGAAGATGATGATATAGAACTAATTGTCGATAGATTGGAAGATAGTGACGGTTACTCTTCCGAAAACAGCGTAGTTGACCAAAGAGGCCTACCACACCAAAACAGCGAAGAATACGAAGATTTAGTGCAAGAATTGGAAGAAAGTCTTCAAATTAGAAGCAGGAATAGAGTTAAAAGAGCTTTGTTGGAGTTTGAGAGAAAGAGCAGTTGCAATAAACCGTTGGAGAAACCTATAATTAATTATGAAGAGGCGAGTGAAAGTGAAGAGCCTTTGATTAGAAAGATATCAGAATTAAGGGAGAAGAGGTAAAGTTAGTTTTTTTTTTTTAATGGAGTGCTATATTTTATTGTTTTTTTTTTAAATCTATGTAGAAAAATAATGTATCTATCTATTAAATCTATCTATCTATCTATCTATCTATCTATCTGGGCCCAATCGAATCCTATGACTAGATTTTGAGTTACAGGGTGTTGAAGTTAAAAATCCCTATTTTTTTTTTAAATAGACACCATAAATCACCCTTAAATATTTTTGTAAGTTATTTGCTCATTTTGTTTAGTCAAAATACACACTTAACTTTTATGATTAAAATATTGTCACTTACAGAATGATTAATAATTCCTTTTTAGTCAAAGTAGGTGTTATTTTGCTATAAATTTTGCTTCAGTGACAAAAAATTATGTATTACCTATACAGGGTGTTTTTTTTTAAAATCTCTTCTTTTGAATTCACCGTAACCAAATTTTATCAAACGGAAACGGGCTACTCTTCATTGGGATATGAATTTTACGTAAATATGTTCCAGAGAAATACTGTATATTAAATATTTTGACAAAACGGTTTTGGATTAGAAATATACCCCTTGTACTATTTGAAGGCAGTCGAAATTATTTCGTACTTACAGGGTGATTGCGGTTGAATACGTAAGGTGGAAAAAATCAACAAAATGTTGAAATTGTTGGCAAAAAATGGAAAATAATTGCCTTTTAACTTGCGAATCTTTTTTCAATTGAGTTATAAGTAATATCGACATAAAATATGGCCTTTGGAGGGTTGTAAAGCGTTAAAAATGTTATGGGCAAATTGCTGCTGATTTTTTCAAAAAAGTTTGTCAAAAAGTCGATTTTTTTTTGTCATTTTTTGCAACATATATTTTTACTAAAATAAATTAACTATAGGCATAATCGAAATCAAATTCAAAATATTAATAAAAATTATGGAAATTTAAAAAAAAAAAAAATTAGAGGATGAACCTATTACTCAATGGATTTCATAGAAGAAAACTTGCAATAAATATAAAATTAAGAAGACAGTTAAGAAGTGGATAATTTCTCAGATTTTCTGTTCATTCTGAGGATCTATTAAGTATTTTTAATTTCTAGTCTTTCCAAAAACTATGTCAGTTTGACAAAGTTTTTTCAATAAAGAATTCATAAGTAATTTATTTTGTAATATTTGGAAATAATTTTATATATTGTTGATTTTTTTCACCATGCATGTTCAACTGTAATCATCCTTTAGGGTTTGCGACTTAAAACAAAATGTATGGGGGGGATTTACCTCATTAGTGACGCGTAATAATCATTTCTCCACATCCTATTTAGATCACCCTGTAAGTATGAAATATGAAATAATCTAACAAAGTGTGTCAAAATATTTAATATGGGATATTTCTTTTGAAAATATCTACTTATGTCAGTATATACAGGGTGATTCAAAATTGAGTGTAAAGATTTAAAGGGCGTATGTACCAACCAAAAATAAGAAATTTTTTTCATATGTCCTAACTTGCTTCGTTTTCTAGATACAGGGTGTTAAACATTATTAAAAAAATCAGTTACTCAAAAACATTTCAGCCGATTTAAATAAAATTTGGTAGGCTTATTTGTCGTTATAAGAGTCTTCCTTTGGTGGGTATAAAATAAATTTATTAATTCCAGTGGCGTCTCAGGGGTAGGGTTGCCAGACGTCACGCTTTTGAGAAAAATGCCACTCTTTTTATGCAAGGTGTCTCAAAGTGTAATTTTATTTAATTAATAATTGTTAAAAAACTTTGGCACCCTGTATCTATAAAACAAAGCAAGTTAGGACATACGATTATATAAAAAAAAACTGATGTGTCCAAAACATGACTTTCCTATCTGAAAAATTTAAATTTACATCTTTTTCTCCAATTTTTCCATTACGGTCCATTTTAGAAAAATTATGTATAAACAAAAATTATAGAGATCGATATCGCAAACAACTTTTAGTTCAACAATTTTCATAAAAATCAGAATTTTGCACATTTTGTCAAATTTCTCGAATACGGACCATTTCAGGAAAATTTGACATAAAACCAAAATTATAGATAATAATATAAGAAATAACTTTTATTTGAACAATTTTCTTCTCCAAACATAAATAACAGATATATTTAAATATATTGCTGTATTTTTTTTCATAGGGAAATACACCTACGGTTAGGTTAGATAGATCTAAATAAGACTTATTTAGATCTATCTAACCTAACCGTAGGTGTATTTCCCTATGAAAAAAAATACAGCAATATATTCAAATTATGTAGTTTGAATTGCAGTCCACCGTCCGATCAGATTGTACGTCTAGTTGGTGTTTAATCTATATATACCGGGTGTTTAAATTTTAAGTTTTACAATTAAATACTGGCGAAAATTTACACATTTTCTCAAATATCTCGAATAAGGTCCATCTTAGAGAAATTATGTATAGAATAAAAATTATAGAGAATTATATTACAAACAATTTTTATAAAAAAATATTTTTTTACATTTTGTCAAATTTCTCGAATACGGACCATTTTAGGAAAATTTTGTATAGAACAAAAATTATAGATAATTATATTAGAAGTAACTTTTATTTGAAGAATTTTCTTCTCCAAACGTAAATAACAGATATATTCCATAAAATATAAAAATACCACCCATAAAGTATCCCCCCAGATGTTCTGACTCTGTCCAAAATCTAATCAGTTCATTAGACGCTGGAATAAAGCTTAAGTTTAAAATTTGGTGTTTTTCTGTGTATCGGTTCATGAGTTATGCGACATACAGATACACACATACACAGACATCATCGCGAAAATAGTCAAAACGGATTCAGGGGACTTCAAAACGTAAAAATCCGTCGAAAACTCGAGGTCGCAAAAATCATGATTCCTATACTTTCCTTATATCTGTATACAGGCCCGCTTCAAAACTTAAGATATATATCTAAATAGACCACTGTTTATAGAAACACTTATATTTGATATTTAAGGAGTGTCAAGTTAACTGAACCCGAGCTGTCATTAGAAACTCTTTCGGACGTTGGCACTGAACCTGTTAAAATTAAAATGGATGCTGATTTGTTTAGTCTCAGAAGTAATTTTGTAGTATTGAGGATCTACCCATAAGTTGTAATTGTATATCTATTAAATTACCGTTGTCTTGCAAATCTTTCAATTTGTTATGTAAATTTTCCTCTTAAAAGTATTTTATACTTTTCAGTAGATATGGAAGATTTTATTTTCAGTAAAAGTAAAGTATAATACGCAAAAAATATAACTTAAGGATAATAATTAATCTCATTATGTTCGTTTTTAGTAAATATATTTATAAAAAAATCATTACTTATGTTTTGACCCTCGTTATTTATATATTCAAAAATGGTATCGTATGGAAAGTATAAATAAGAAATTAGTAAACACTCACCTTACATTGAAGGCAACGAAAAGTCCCATGTTCCATCCATCGTAGATCCAAAAAAACACTTATTTCGCGACACCCGGTATATTTAATTCCGGATATCTTCTAATCCCGGCGACGATCTTTTATTCTGACCTCAATACTCAACGTCTCATTCCGTTTCATAGCAAGCCTTCAATGCCCTCAGGTTGTTATTAAACTCAAATTTTTTTACTTTATAAATTTTAAAGAATAACAATATTATATGATATATGGAAGGTGGTACAGAAAAAATAGATAAAACTCTGTAAACTATGAAGGGTTTGCTTGATAAAAAACAATTCTAAAATTGTCTATTTTAATTTTACAAGATGTTAAAGTTAGAGATTAAAAATTAAAAAAAATAGTGAATGTTTTTCGTTAATAAGAAAATAAATAGTTGTACCTATATTTATTTACAAATCTATCTATATTAAAATACGGTTTTTTGTGATAGAACTCTGAAAATTATAAGTTTGCTTAATAAAAAAATATTCTAAAATTTTTACTTTTAAAAAAATGGTTTTTTCCAAATAAGTTCATTTGAGTTTAATAAAAATCGTAAAGCCATCGCCGGCCACTATTTTTGCAGCCTTGTCCATTCGATCGATGCAGAATTTACACCTCCAAAAAACTAAATCCTGCAGAATTATTTTCCGCTCGTACTTTTTCTACAGAAAATAAATTCGAAGGTGCAAACTTCTGACGATCTAACGTCTTTATTGTCAAAAGAAACGATCTCAAACACACCACATCGTCCATGTCGATACAACAGGCAGAAAAATATTTCTGCGCATTTGTCCCATCGGCATAAACGATCTCAACACACATGAGTTGCTTTTCGAAAAAAAAAAACTAATTAAAAACCGAATAAAATTGATGTATATACTAGCAACTCCAACACACTCCTACCCGTTATATATTTCGGACTGATAGCGATTCGACACACTGATTTTAATGCACTGAAAAGAAAAAGAAAAATTAATTAAAATTTGAAATAATAGAAAAATAATTTTAGAAATCGGGTGGTCTGTACATATTTTTTTAAATATCAATAATACGATACACCAAGCAGTTACATTCAGTTGATAAAAAAATTGGTTATTAAAAAAAAGATATAAAAGAAGAAATAAAAATAATAAGTGAGTCAGTAGACTGCAAAGTAGAGAAATTAGAAAATCATATCAAATATCTTGAGAAGCAGTTAAATCATTTAGAACGAGCTAATAAAAAAAATTGCTTGAAACTATTTTCTTGAAATTTATGAACTAAATCCAACACATACTGATGCCCAACATTTTTATCGGGATGTCTCTGATTTTGTTTTATTTCCAAAAATTGACCATGTATTTCAACATTAAAATTAGATTTTTCTCGAAAACGGTCGACTTTAGAGCGTATGACCAAGAGTACCTTTTTTGTGTAGAAAACATTGGCGGTTCAAATGGGCGTCTCAAAACCGTACTTTTTTCAGTGGCGTAGATTTTTTTTTTTTTTTAAATTTCAACACCCTGTATCTCCAAAATAATGCATTTTAGAGGGTAAGTTAATAGAAACGTTTTTTCATATTTTTGGACGAGCTA